CTACACCTGTTTTTTTTTTTTCACAACTTAGCAGATGTGAAGCAGAACAGATTATCTTGCAAATACCCCCACCCCCCAAAAAACATACTGGTTGTTCAAGAGATCATAATAAAAATTAAGAATATCAAATGTACTTTATATATGATATAAGAAAATGCTCTCATGATTGTCTGTTTTGATAAAAATTAATATCCTTGAATTAGTACAGTATAAAATATATGGGAAACATAAATTATCATTATTATTAGATAAACCAAGCTTAGCAGGAAAGTAGGAACTTGAAAGTACTTCTTGCTGCAAAATAATGAAGCCTTTTCCTGGGGGGGGGGGGGGGTACAACTCTTTTTGGATCATACAATATCATTCCATTTTTTAATTGAAATCATACAATGTAATCAGAAACATTTTAAAATAAATGTTTCTGATGTAATTATTCAGAGCCTAATTTTTTCCAAAATATTTAGTTAAGTCTGAGTTTACTGACCTTGACCGATTCTATTTTGGGACAGTCAAAGAGAATTTGGGAGCGGGATCTTGAACTGAATATGGGAATTTTTCTTACTTCATACGTAAATAATGCAGCAAAAATAAAAAAAAAATTTCTCATAAACATTTATATATCTTTTTAGTGATAACAAAAGGTAATCTACTGCAGTATTAAACATCAAAAGTCATTACATCACTTGAGAACTGTCATGGCTGCTGAAGAAGACAACTTGTTTTCACGCTGGTGTATTTTTTTCTTGTGGCGATTTAATAAAACGTTAGTTTGTTTGCTACGATTAAATATAATTCATTTTAACAATGAATAATTTTTTTTTTTAATCTTAATTTTGTCCCACCTCATAGTTTTGAGATTTATTATGCATGGTTTATATTTTACAAACGATTGATATTTTAGCAGCATTGATAGATTGAACTGTACGGACCGCAAGGGCTGACTTCAGATTACCTATCAAGCGTAGTTACCATGACAACCATTACATATTTAGAAGAACAGGCCGTCCCTTCTATATAATAACGTACTGAAGATCAATAACAATAATTTACATATTTCACCCACTTTTTTGAAAGTTAAAGAAATTTTGGAGGTGAATTTAAATATAAACAATAAAATGCTTTCTTTGATGGTTCACATGGGAAATGCATTGCAAGGGGTGTTCACCGTATTGTTGACAGACCAGGGTCAGAGGTCATTACATGTATTTACATAACAAAACTATAAACCTACAATAATGCTATTGATTTCACTACACTCCTAAGAAATATAATGTGAATTTTTTTCATGGAATCAAATATTTCTTTGCCCTTAGTTTATGTTTCATATTTACCGCGTTATAAATCTCAGCAGTGAAGGTAATAGTAAACATAGCGAACAAATTCAAGATGCAATCATTTAGACACATTTCAAATTGAAAATATCGGTTATATTGACGTTTTTTAATTACTTCGATTTATTTCAAAGTTAAGAAATGAAAATGATGTTATTGTAATTTTTGGCGGAAAAAGAATGCCTACTTCACTAAGATGTAATTCTAGCTGGAGTTGTAGCACCCCCCCCCCCCTTCCCCTCAATAAAGCATAAAAGAAAGGAGGGATAAAATAAAATCGGGTAGTTACATTAATATTGCTCCTACGATCATGAGCTTTTTGCCCCCGTTGAGATGGCCAGAGACATAAATAACATATAATAAATGCGTCTCCGAGATGGCGAATGATTACCCACGTTGCCACAATATCACATTTGTAATGGATAAACTCAGAAAGATAATGCAAATATGTGTAAATTTTCATTGGAAATTTGCTACATATTCTGTTCATATATATTTATGATTTCTTATTTCTTATTAGAGAAATATAAAATAACAAATATAACTTAGTACTTCTTTTATCTTGAACACTGTGATTTAGCGTGAGTGTAATGCACATGCGCAAGATTGTAAAATCCAAAAAATCCAGATGATTTCCGGAATTTTCTGAGGAATTTTCGGTGATTATTAATTAGCGAGGGTTAATTGAGAAAAAATAAAAATAAATTGGTAATCTTCAAGTACCAATTATGTTTAAAATATATAAAACAAAAGACAGCACTCTTCCGATTTACCGGTATTAAAGGCCAAAAATTCGAGTCTATTATTTTAATATAGTAGTATAGATACCAAGATAGCAATATTTGTCAACAGTTTCAATACAGATACCTTTAATAGTAAAATGGTTTTAAAAAGTTTTACCATTAGAATTAAATACTATAATTTTTGATTTGGACGTGTTAATCTGTAGCTTCCAATTAACACAATAATTTTCAAGAATATTCAGGCTACATTGTAGACCATCAGGACTACTTGACAACAAAACTAAGTCATCTGCCTATAATAAGCAATGTATTTTTGTGTCCTTTACTAATATTGGATCAGAGTTAATACTGTTCAATTCATCAACAATTTTGTTTATGAAAATGTTAAAAAGCAAGGGACTTAGTACATCACCTTGTTTGACACCTCTTTCAGATATAAATGGTTCACCTAACCCCTCATTAAACTTTATTTTGTTCTTGGTGTTCGCATACATAGAATAGATCACATTGAAAATTTTCTTTGGAACACCATTTGTTAGAAGTATGTAAAATAATCCTACTCTCCAAATCGTATCAAATGCTTTTTTCAGATCAATGAATGCTGCATAAACTTTTTTCTTTTTGAGTTTGTAGTGGTCAATTATTGATTTTATAGAAAATATATGGTCAGCTGTTCTGCTGTGTTCCATAAAGCCAATATGATTTTGCTCATCTGATTATTATCTAGAGTAAATTTGGTTAATCTCAAATGTATGATCTTACATATACTTATCACATATCATCTCAGATATTGTATTGTTTTTATCTGTAAATCAACTTACGTAGTATGCTCAAACCTATTGAATTTAGATTATGTATATAGCATTAGATAAAAATCTACCATACATGTACATGTATATACCGAAAGCCAGACGAAGCCCTCGAAGAAAGTATTTTTTCTTGACTGAATAAATCTTTATATCTCCCTCATGATCATGCAATATATATATATATATATATATATATATATATATATATATATATATATATATATATATATATATATATATATATATATATATATATATATATATATATATATATATAATGTATAGTATATGTCTAACTTCTCATCCCTGCAATATCAAAGGAGCTTAACCTTTGTCTGTCTGTTTGTAAACGATTTGTATAGACGCCAATCCTAAATAAGTTTTTCCCTGATGTTGATCACAAGTCCAAGTCAATTTCACCAAGGTCCATAAGTCTGTGCATAAATTTCTAATTTCATTGAAATGTGGGTCCACCAATAGGTATTAAAATAATCTGTTTGATTATTTCAAACTGCTGCTCGTTTAGTTTTCATCTGATTTGAATATAACTTAATAGAGGTTTCAAAAAAATTATTCATTGTGAATTTAGTTTTTTTCAATTTTAAATTTGATATAAATTACACTATCAACATTCTAGTAAAATGATGATTCTTTATCATTGCTATAAAGGAAGAAGAAATGTAACCTTTCATGGAAAAAAATATAAACCTGAAGAAAAAGAAGCAAATTCAAAGAGTTGTGGTCCCCCGCTTTCAGTGTCTTAGTGGTTGGGATGCTATTGCTTGTGGCATATTGTACTGTCTTGATGGTATGACCTGTCTTGTCTGTCCATCATACAAAAAATTTAATTTTTGGAATTAACAAAAGTTTGGTCAAGATTGAAGCTTCTCAAAACTGCATAAAACTTCAAGGTCATGAGGTCAAATATCATAACAAGTCTGAAAGGTCGTGTCACAAGTAATGCACATTTGAAAAAAAAATATAAAAGCCTTATCTCTTCTGTGGCAAAATTTAAAAATTTCTATAAGTAGGTCAAACTACCTACAAAAGGTCCTATCTTCTCTTATTCAAAAGTTAACACCAATGTTAATGTGTTTTTCTAAAAGGTCAAACTTCAAGGTCAAGGTCACAGGGTAAAAAAAACTTTTGTCCATTTGGGAAGGTCTTGTTTCATGTAATATAAATTTAAAATATGAGAGCTTTGTCTTTTCTCATTCAAAGCTATAACCAATGTTAAATTTTTTGTAAAGCAGCCAAGATCAAGGTCACAGGGTCAAAAATTAGTATATTTGGAAAGGTTTTGTCACAGAAAACGTACATTGACATACGAAAGCCCTATCTTTTCCCATTAAAAATTATGACCAAGGTTAAAGTAATGTGAAAAATTTTGAAAAGTAGGTCAAACTTCAAGGTCACAGGTTCCAAAATCATAGTTTATTTGGAAAAGTATTGTCGCAGGTAATATACGTGTGATATATGAAAGCCCTATCTCTTCTAATCAAAAGCTATGACAAAGTTGAAGTTTTGTGACAGACAGACGGACAGAATGACAGCGGTGCAGAACCAACTCTTCTTGTTAACTTTCCCCATTTTTGACGTTTCGCCTTCCGTCGATGTTTTGTAAACAGACGACAATAGTGCATGTCGTAAATTGCGCGAAACGCATTCGGAAGAACGATCTCGGCTTAAAATATATATTATTGCTTTTTAAGTATCTACTTATAAAACATGTTTAAATAAAATAAGTCTTAACATTATATTCTTTGAAAGCTCCTTGATCAGAAATTTTACGACATTAGATCGAATAACGACATTTCGAGTTGCGCAGTGGATTCAAAAGTGTCAGGAGCGAACATCTTTAATGTCCCCTTGCTTTCCTAAAAGCGGAGGACAAAAAAACCTAAAGCAAGTAAATGCCAGACGTCTAAATACAACTTTTTCAGAGAAGTTCATACACTAGCTGCCATAGTCTCAGCAGAGACTTCTAATTAACAACAGAAAGATCTATTCATGTGAAACAGTATGTTTTACCATTCATAATCACTCATCCAATATGTTTTAAATAAGAAAGAAAAACCTTACTTTTAACAAAGAGCTGTTTTCTTTTTTTTTTTCAGGAAAAGGATGGCGGTTTTGGCGAAGCGCACAATTTCAATGTTTACTTTCTTCCTGGTGCTCAATCAAAGACTTGCTGCTTCAAGTGAAATCTGTCAATCTCTCTGTTCGTGTGTAATTTTTAGTAATAGAAATAATGTGAGTGCAGAGGTCATCGAGATTAACTGTCAGGGTAACGACCTTGAATTATTTCCCAACTTGACCGAATACAAAGGCACGCAAATACAACGCTTGAATTTAGGGAATAATTCATTCTTCAAACTTACAGTTAGTTCTGTTTTATTTGATGGTGCTATTATTCAAGAACTGAATTTGGACAACAATCGATTTTTAGAAATAGAGAATAATGCGTTCAGTAATATAAAAGAACTCAAGAAATTGACCTTGAACAATTGTGGTCTTGAATCAGCTGATCTAATATTTGTACGAAATATTCCAAATTTATTGTTTTTAGCTTTAAGATCAAATAAAATAAAGGAGCTTAAAGATTCGAGTGTGTTCGAGGGATCGCCACTTGAAGAGCTCGATCTTAGTTATAATCCCAATATCAATATTCATGAAGAAGTTTTGAAAGTTTTAGCATCTACCCTGATCTTTTTATATATGGATTATACCAATGTGGACATTTCAAATCTTCAGTTTTTAGGTGGTTTAGCTAACCTAAAGTTATTATCAATGGAAGGCGCTCGTTCCTCAAAGTATAATAGTATTCAACAGAAAGCATTCGGTAACCTCAGTCTGTCAAGTCTAGAATCACTGACATTGTCCAAGTCTGGATTGAAGGTCGTATTTCCAAAAGCTTTTGATGGTCTTGATAGATTGAAGTATCTGGATCTTTCCGGAAACGAACTGAATAACCAGGTCTTTGGAGTTACGGGTACCAAACCTAGTCTACAAGTGCTGAAATTATCTTACAACCCAAGTATACAATCCATTTTAAAAATTCCTAACAAGAACTTGACTGAGTTGCACATGGAAGGGACAGGAGTAAATCTCATTTCTTATGACGCCTTCAGTGTTATAGGGGACTCTCTTGTCATCCTAAACCTTAGATCGTGCCAACTTCCGCCGGAAGGTATGTTTCTCGTGGATGCATTTAGACCACTTAGGTCGCTGAGGAAATTGGACCTATCATATAATTACTTGAAAGAAATATTCAATGAAACATTCGATGATATGAACAAACTTGAGGAACTCGATTTAAGTGGAAATATTATGAAATTTAGTAAAACTGACTTTAGTGGTCTTGAAGAATCATTAAAAACTCTAAGACTACGAAACATGACATTACAAACTCTACCAGTAGAAGCATTGGCAAGCTTAGAAAATTTGCAAGAACTGGACGCCTCGTTCAACAATTTTACAAATATCTCCAAGGACTTTTTTGGAAGTTTATCTGTGAGAACGCTAAATTTGACAAGTTGCAACATTTTTGAAATCCACAAGGAAGCATTTATTCGATTTAACAAAACCAATGTAATTTTGGATGGTAACAATATTACCAGTGTAGACTTTCTGAGCTTTTTATCACACAATACTTTCGGAACTTTAACCATGCGTAATAATAACATCAACTGTAGCAGGCTCAATCAAGTTCACGTAGTAGTGTTCGATAATTTAGAAGGTTACTGTGTCACTGGGAATCATTCGGAACCACTCAGCGCATACTTAACTAAAAAACTCAACATGAAAGCCATCAATTCCTGTTGTAAAACTGAAACGAGCCAGCTCGTGATTTTTACCATTTTAGCCATAAGAACATTCATAGAACAAGTTTTTGTGTAAATCAAAACGCTCCAAATCCCATGTGACATGAAATATAGTGCCAAAAATAGAATGAAAATGGCATTTTATACAGATTTATTTGGGTTTTTTAAACGTATTTTTATATGATAGTTGGAAACGTTTAACTAATTTTAAGTGTCTTGGTGCTTTTAAATTGTGTACATACACGAGTTTTGAAAAATGATTAATCATAATTGTACAAAGATTTTAAAGATATTCAGATTTTATCTTAATCTATGAATAAGTAAAGGCCCCTAAGAGATCATTTTCGCAAGTCAGGATTGTCAAATTAAAATAATAATAATCAATGCATTTCTTTGGATACAATTTAAGTTTTAGTGAGTCAAAATCACTATGGATGATGTACTTTCATTTTATCGTGGCTTTATTTTAATGGCATTGTACATCGTTTTGTCATTCGTTTTTTAAATTGAATTTTAAATATAAATGGTTGAGCTTAATTTATAAATTATTGTAGATTTTATGTAAAAGAATTAAAGCATGGCCTTGAAAGTTTTTCAAGAAATAGCATGTTCTTTTTTATATGAAACACAACCACTGCCTATCATTATGGCTAAATTCTGTACTACAAATTTGTAGTTGTTTATTGACTTTTCTTTCGGTAAAGTTTAGAGTTTTGGTAGGGATATATCATCCAAATAATACATGTAGTCTTACTTTGAGTACTCCATTCCGTAGACAACGAGAAGAATACTGGAACAGGAAACTAGACACGGCCTTTCCAAATTGATGCACCGTTCACGGTAGTTCAGTCGGTAGAGCGCTCGCTTCGTGATCGGGAGGTCGTGAGTTCGAATCTCTGACGCGACTGACCTAAGTCGATTTAAAATGGTAGCAACTGTTCCTTCGCCATGCGCTCGGCACTTTGAAGTGAAAGTTGCGGGTCCTTCGGATGAGACCTTAAAAACCGAGGGCCCGTGTCACGGCAGGCGTTGGCACGATAAAGATCCCTCACTGCTCAATGGCCCTGAGTGCCGAGTAAAGGTCAAAATTTGAAGCCCTTCATCGGTATATGGTGACATCTCTATATGAGTGAAAAATTCTTGAATGGGACGTAAAACAACATACAATCAAACAATCCAAATGAGCGCAACGACAACATAAATAATGTGAAGAATTTCTCAAGGCCAGAGTGTGCGATTGTGAATGTGCTGGGGCTTTTTAACAATACACCTAGACGTAGTCATGGTCATCGATCATACAACAGAACAAATTAATATGGCGTCTATTTTGATTCACTTTTGCCCTACACGTCATTAAACAATCAGGCCTTCATCACATTCGCACTAAACTCTACTCGGTTCCCTTGATATTTTTCAATGGACTATTTGAAGAAGCCAAGGCAAGTCCATACTTACATTCTTCAACTACAGAATACAAACTAGTGTTTGTGATTATGAATGTTGCCAAGCACAGGTTCTTTAAGCCCTCCACGTGTGTCGAAAGATAATTCTGACTCAATCCGTCGGTTTCTTAAACTTACATTAGCAAACAAAGGAATAGATGTAGTGAACATTAGTAAGATATTTAATCATAAAAAGGTTCGTTCTTGCATTCCACCATATTGTAAGTTGAAATCTACACCCTGTATTTCCTACAGATATTCAAAAACTATTGTGTCCAAACTTTTCAATTATAAATAAACCTTGTCCTTGCAGTGCCTGGATATTGAACATCTAAAAAAAATCCTCTCAAATATTCTTGCTCTTCTTTTTCTTTCAGTTACAGTCCCGTTAGCGTTGGACACGTCATTACTTGAGGTACCAATATAAGAGCTTAAAGCGATCATATTTAAAAGTCCTTATTACAGGGAGCCCCGAACTTTCAATTCTCGACAGAACTTAATTTCTAATATGAATTCTGTCGAAGATTATGTCAGGCGTTGGGCTATTTATTAGAAAAGAGGATCTGAACACTTTGTCTGTTTTTTGTCGCCAATGTTTTAGAAATATATCAAAGAATCGAAAGAAATTTGAAAGGCAATATGCAAATCACCTATCCTTTCGTTTTCACGAAATCGGAGGTGATCAAAGAACATATATAATATGTTATGGTTCCAGCCGACAAGGCTTATAACAATATCGTCTTTGTTTGCAAAGCTCATTATTATAACTGTATTTTAGAAGAACTTGGTTTTAATTTTTCTTTCGGAAATCCAACTTACACTTGCAGTTCACTTTCAAAAGATGAAATTTTTCAAAATAACATTTCAGTATTTAAAACTTAACATTCCAGTCAACCAAGGTAAGTTCGATCTACCCTACCTATATTGGATTCTTAAACTTAACAAAAATCCTTTCAGAGATACATTACAGGGTCAAGCACACGCTCTATTAAGCCCCTATCCTTACTCCTTACAAAAATAGTTGCTGTTAAGAATTAAGAAGCTTCAGCCATACTGTGCTACAACATATTCTAGAAGTGGTGTAAATCAGATGTGGATTCTCAAAAACTCCAAAGAACTTTTAAGAAATTTACAAAAGTCAGTATCATCAAAACGTACTACTTTTCTACACTTTGTACAACCATTCCTCGCGATAAATTAAAAACTAGACTTTTTGATATCATAGACAACTGCTTCTTCAATAAAAATGGAAGTCGGAAATTTTCCTACCTTGTGATTGGTCATCAACAAAATTACTTTGCTATAAATCACTCTGATTCTACACACAAGTACTCTAAAGTTGATATTAAAAGGATGCTGGAGTTCCTCGTTGAGAAGCCAACATTTATGAAGACTTCGGAGACCGGACCCCAGGATCATGAAACAAACTTAGACTTAAGGTATGTCACTCGTCAGCTTTTTAGAAAAGTTCATTCAGAACTTCTAACTTCAAAACTATTTATTGCAATTCAATTTTTATAGCATATTTAAATTAAACAATGCAAATTATTCAACATTCAATTAAAAAACTGCTCACAAAATCGTAAAGAAGCAAGATTTATGAGTGACTATTTCTTGTGGTTTGAGGATATTTAAAAGAAAATTCTTCAAATCTACACATTTGTTATATTTAATATCTTGTAACTTTAGCCCGATATATTTTTACGCAGAGAATATTTTCCGTTATGATATGCTTGGAATATTAAATATAGGTCTCAATTTATATTTTAGAACAAATTTTATACATTCACTCAACAGAGTTTGCCACGAAATGAAGATATTTTAAAGAAGTCAAGATAAAATTTACACTGCGTTTTGCCTGAAAATCGCATATTTTGACCAATATCTCAAAATTTACATCACTGACCGCAACTTTTTCTTTCATTGTTTTAAACTATACGATACTTCCAACCGATCAGCACCTAAGTCATAAAAAGTTTGATACAAGAAAATACTTTATTGCCTATTTAGATGTTTAATACGCCAATGATGATACTTTTTTAGTGCTGAAAGGTCACACAAAAATTTATGCGCATTAATTTGCATGATTTGTTCAATGATAAATATTATTCAAACTATTTTACGTAAAATCAGGTTCTATTTATTACCATGATTACATCTGATAAGATATGATATAGATTAGAGTGATTAACCAAAGAGTTACAATTTAAGTGCAAAAAGGTCAAGTTAATTGAACCGTAGCTCAGTAAGAGGCACACTGACCCCCCATTTTCTTTGTGATTTTGAGTCATGCTATATGAGTACTTCTCTAAAATATACTTCTCAAAAAATCCTTGATATAACTAATTTCACGAGTAACATACCTTAAGTCAAATTTTCAATCGATTGTAAAATGTTTCATAATTGTCGACTTTAAATTTGCAGATAGCAACACTTTCATAAAGCAATATTGAAAAATATTTTAATTTTGGTCTGCTTGACTTCTATAACATTGTAGAACAAGTTAAAGATTTTGACTTAAGCTTAAGATGTTACATGATCCCGGGGCCAGGTCTTCCAACAAACTGTAGGAAGTCCGATGGTCATCTCGTTTGTCATCCAATTTAGTTGTAAGTTGGACCTTACCGTCTATTGTCAGTAAAGCATCCAAATATGAAACAGATGTGGCAGACCCTCTGATGTCTTTTATTTCAAGTTCACTGCATGAGATATATCGAATTGACATATGAACGAAAGTAACTATTGTTAATTGATAATACATCGTCAATATATCTAAATGTCGAAATGAAGGCCACAGCTAGTGTCTTCTTCTGTATAAGTTTTGAATTAATTCTGCTTCATATAAATACAATAAATAATAACGGGGCCCAATTGACAATGAAAAACTTTTACATCGTCAACTTTTCCTATCTAAACCGAAGCAGGTTTCTGACAAATAAGTTAATGTTTCAGGGATTTCAACGACTTCGATTAAAGTCAGCATTTCGTAAATTTTAAGGCCATTATAATGATCTTGTTAGTAAATATAATCTATCATTGGGTCGTATCTTGGCTGACTCGTTTCATACCAAATGTTAGGCATTTGTTTTTATACTGAGTTTGACTACGAAATGTTCTGTCTACCAGATCAATACATAGGGCTCACGGCGGGTGTGACCAGTCAACAGGGGATGCTTACCCCTGCTAAGCACCTGATCCCACCTTTTGAATTTCCAGGATTCGTGTTCCATGCCCTCTTCACAGAACTGTATTGTTCGTAGATTTTTTGAGATCGGTCACTGTTCGTTATCTTCGATCACCATTATCTAAGTTTTTATTAGAAAAATTGAATTATTTCCCTTTAAGCTTAAATATCATTTATCTGTCCAGTAAAAGTCAGAATGGGTCACAAAAATGGAAGAGCATAATGACAAACAAACAACATACATGCAAGTAAAAGTACGTCTACAATATGGCTGAAATATTGCCGACTTGGCGTTAAACAGTAAACAATCACTCAATCAATCAATTTATTATGCATTGTCTTTCTATACAGGTCTTCAGTGCTGATAACCCTTAGCAAGAAGATACGCAGTGTCCTTTTGAAGATATAGATTTTTTTTTTTGCCTTCGTTCATTGATTTTCCTTAAATGTATTTTCTGAAATCCCATCCTCCTTTTCCTTTTTTTTCTCTGACAAATAATTGTCTGTCTGTATCTAGAAGAACTTAATAAACCATTAACTACTTGTACTTCATATCAATTTTCATAAGAGAAGCAGATCTGTTCCAGATCTCTAATTGAAATGCTGTTCTGATTTTATGGTATATAAATTTTAAATATCTAGTGGAGCTGGTCGTTGGTCTTTTTTCTTTTCTTTCGGGAGGTTGAGTCTCCCTTTAGCTAGCACTAGAGAGTGGTCACTTCCGTCTTTTGCAGGTTGTAATAAAAGGAGTCTTTCTCTTCATCCTCATCAGCCTCTGTTTGAGCAGAGGAACCCATGGAGGTAGGTTTGCATATGCTGAGTTGTATTTGGCCCTATTTCTCTCTCTCTCTCTCTCACAGATAGGGTCGTCGCCTGCGTGGCCTAATGGTTGGAGCGTTTGCTCTGAGGTCACGGAGTAAGGAGTTGATCCTTCCATCGCAGGTTCGAATCCCATTGCGGGAGGTGGTGACCGGTTCTTCGGATGAGACCGTATAAACCAAGGCCCCAAAGAAACAAATAAACATGTGTCAATCCAGTAAACTGGTAAGCATTTTTCATGATGTTATAATACCTATTCCTCTTCTGTGTTGGTCATCTGCATGATCTTCACAAGTCGAGGATGTTGTGTCCAGATTATAACTGCATTGTTCTACTGCATGTCTGTCTGGTTTCACTATCTCCGAGGAGCTTGATATTATAGTGTTCCACTACTTTTGTCACCCGTGAAATCTTTCCAGTCTGACAGAAAGGCCGCACAATCCAGCAGCCCTCTGTATGTATATATTAAGATGAAGGATACATGCTATCGAGTTGTCAGTTTCCTGCTAGGTTTGACTGACAACCTTCTTAATTTTAGCATCCTAAGATGCAAGTATCCTCTCCAGTAGCTAGCTCTTCTGTTTAAGGTTTCCATAGCTTACTTATTTCTACATGACAAGAATACTGGCCCTGTACATAATCTCCTGGACTACCGATAGTGATTTTTGGTTGAAGTTTTTGTTTTTCGAGGTTTTGATTACATGTACCGGGGTATGTAACCTAGTGACATCAGCTTCTACCTTCGAGACCTTCACCATCTTTTGAGCCCATTTCATTGGACAATTGAATTTAATTGAAAGTAATATCATCATTGTATGAAAATTGACATTTTAATTTCAAATAAATAAACTAAATTGCAGATCAATTACCCGGTAATAGTAATTTATAGCTTTTTAAAGTTATTACGTGAATTGAAAATCATCGAGAATGCCTATGGAAGCAAAAAGTTCTTTGAAGTGACGTTTTACACCTGTTTTTTGCAATTCGTAATATTCATGATGTTTTTGAAATACGTGTAGTTAAAAGAAACGTCAATGAATTACTTTATATAATATAATTTAGACATTGCATGGATGTCGAGCTCCAATAAACAAATAACCTAGAAAGGTGAAGATCCTTACATACGCTTGACGAGTTTAGCTTTTGGTTTGTACAATGTAAAATAAGGCTTTAATCATAAGAAATTACAAAAATTGTTAAATTCTCTCTTTCTCTCTCTCTGGAATCCATACATTAGGTAGCTATGACTTAGCTCAGTTATAACACAAGTGTATACATTAACCGACAATAAGTAAAATTTGCACCGGGATAGTTTCAACAAGAGTGACTTTACAACCTATCATATTTACAACAAAGCATGAACAATGGGAAGGCTTTCAAATCATGTCTACGTGATCTTAGCCATTGAATTGGCAATTTTCTGCAACATGTTCCATACTATTACGCGTAAAGATAGAGTCCACGATATTCAGAAAATTATGTAACAATTGCATATGATGAATGCTATTCAAATATTTGATCTTTTCAGAAAAGATCCCCTAGACAATCATTAAGTTAATTATAACAATTTATTTTTGCTGTGAATCCAATGTCATCTCTCGGCCGGCGGACTCGGTATGAGGTTTTTGAGAGCTCGTATCATGGGCTAGGGCTGATTTGAATCAAATTAATTGTGAGACGAATGAAAAGGATCGCGGTCGATGAACCACTTTTTATATTGCTTTTTAAGACCGAGAAATGAAATCATTGCTGATCATGTATTTTGACAAACCCCGGCGAAAGATACCAACCTTTAACAGAATAGAAGTCTAATTTCATATTGAACCATGATTAAATTAAAAATCTCCCCTACGTTTGATTAAAACATTTTATTGCGTCAAAATCCTTAGGACTGGACAAAAATATTTCAAACTTAGACTGTCCTCTCCAATACAAACAAAATGAGCAATAAATACACTTCATGTACAAACGAACAAAATTTAATGTACAATTATAATAAATTTAAAAATCAATAATGATATAAGGAAGAGTTTCTTTATATATTAATTTGAATGCTATTGTGTCCTGATTTTAATAACACACTCAAGAGCAGGAGCATGCTTCAGGTACGAACAATTTCTACAACGAGTCAAACTATTGACAATTAAGTCGCTGATACGAAGGTATCAACTGTCCCGTTTAAGTGAACATTTCGCAAAATCTAAGGTCGAAACAATGAACTTGTTAGCAAACACAGTCTATCGGTAAGTTGAATGTTGTCTAATGTTTTTCATGCAAATTGTTAAGCCGTTATTTTCACACTGAATAGTCTACGGATTTTTTCTCTTTTGTCCGATCATGACAAGGAGCACACGGCTAGTGTGACCGTTTGACAGGGGATGCTCACTCCTCCATGGCACCTGATCCCACCTCTGATGTTTCTAAAGGTCTATGTTTGCTCTGCTCCGCCATTCGTATTGTTTCAATGGACTTTTGAGCTAGATTTGCTGATCATCATCTCCATATTTCATGGATGATGCATCTAGGGATGGACACTACCAGACTTGCTTCAGATTCTGAATATGACCTACGTTTTCTAGATGAATGCCTACGTTAAAGTTTTAGGAGCAAGTCCATTGCCAAGTAACTATATGCCCTACCTGGATTAAGCTAGCATGGATGATGCATCTAGCTAGGGATGGATACTACCAGAGTTTTTATATGCTGGATGTGTCTTCCATTTTTTGGATGGATGACCAGGTTAAAGTTTTAGCAGTAAGTCTATTCCCAAGTCTTTGTAAGACATTTAGTGACTAAACTTGCATAAATGCTGCATTTAAGGATGGATGCTATTAGGCTTGCTTGAGATGCTGGATTTGACCTACATTTTCTGAAAGAGTTACAGGTATAGTTTTTGGAGCAATACCAATGACAAGTCAGTATTAGCCTCATGGAGACTTAACGTTCATGACACATTTTGGGATACACACTACCAGACATGCTTAAGGTTCTGTATCTGACGTACATTTTCTGTAAAAGGTGGAAATAGTAATCAGAGATGAATCCATCATTCCAGGAAACAAAAATAAATCATGAACAGGGCAAAAACACGAGCCCATGGAAATACCAAAGTTGGGATCGTAGGAGGGGTAGGTATCCCCTGTTGCTCTGCCACACCCGCCGTGAGCCTCAGGTATTGATCAGGTATAGACAATATTACCAGTATAGACTTTCTTAACCCACGATACATTTGGAACTTTAGCCGTGCGTAATTATTTAAAATGACTTACACCAACTGAAGCAAACTAAATCAAGTTCACGTGGTAGTGTTCGATAATTTTGAAGGTTACTGTGTCACTGGGAATCATTCAAACAACTCATTGTATACTTATTACTGAAAAATCCAACATGAGAGTCATCCATTCCTGAAACTGAATCGAGCCAGCTCGTGCATTTTTGCCATTGAAATTCAGAGAGGGGTTTGTGTGTAAATCAAAACGTTCCAAATCTCATGTGACATGAAATACGTATATAGTACCAAAAATAGAATGAAAATGGGATTTCATACAGATTGTTTTTTTTTTGCGTATTTTTATATGATAATTAAAAACTTTTATTAATTTCAAGTGTCGTGATGCTTTCGAAATGTGTGCACAATGACACAAGTTTTGAAAAATATTTAATCATTATTGGACAAATACTTAAAAAAATATTCAGATTTGTCTTAATCTTTGAATGAATAGAGACACATGAAAGTTTTTTTCGCAGAGGTTCAAGATCATAACCTACTATAATCGATGCACTTCTTCGGATATAATTTCAATTTCATTAAATAATAATGATAACATTTTTAAAGATTTTAGGGAATGAGATGGGACGCTTTTAATCCCCTTTTGACTAATACATGTACTTCCCTCGTCATTTGAATATGAGTTCTTTGGTTTTAAGGGCAGATGATACAAACAAAATAAAAGGCATCCATTTTTTTTTTTTGGTATCATCTGTCCTTAACATAATAATATTATAATTAAATTGTTACAACTCTTTATATGGACATTGATTCGCTGCATGTAGTAAATGAAATGAGAAAGTCTTACTAATTTAAAATACTTTCCCAAGATTTCTTCAGAAACTTTTATAGTCCTTGGAAAATAAATCACCTTAATTTTCCTGACGTTTTATTAACACACGGTCCATTTAAATTTTAAAAATCTAAATATAGATATCTACAAGGAAGAATATTTGATCTTCCTTAACTTCCGGGTTTTAAAGGAGGAAATTGTCGTACATTAATGTGTGTATTAACGGGTTGTGACTTGTGTGTCTGAATCTTGTGATAACTCTGTAAAAAATGTGTTCGTACCGTAATTCAAGGAAAGTATCATTGTTGTAAGATAATTAAATCGTGGACATGCCCGAGGAGGGAGTCGCGGCGGCCCCAGTGGGGACGACCATGCAGAACTGGTTGGCAGGGACAATTGTGGGTACCATGGCAATTATCGTCTTGTCGATCTTCATCCCTGGGTGGATCGTCTTTACAGAAATTAACTCAAGCGTATGTTACCATGTACACCATATTCTCATGCATTTTGACATGTTTAATGATAGTGAGTTGTCTTGTAGGATTATTGTCCAAATATTTTGCCTACTTTTATGCTATTATTTTTCAAAACTCGGGTTTTATACTGTCAAGCTATATATTTCAAATTCAAAGCTTTTTGAAATACTTGTCTTAGATGTCAATAGGACTAAAACAGCTATGACAGGTAACCCTTCAAAAGCAGACCGCTTGACAAAAAAAATCAAATTTTAAGGTTCTGTATGATTTTTAGCTGAGCGTTTCCGCCAGTATCTATTACTGGATGGTGTGTGGTGCTCGGAACACTACCTGTGGGGCCCATGGAGTCGGTCAACCAGAAGCTTACATGTACATCGAGAAAACAAACGGTAAGATGGGACATCTAACTACACTAAGATGGGACCATTTCATTCGGGGGGAGGGGGGGGGGCAGATTTTGAAAATACATGTAAATAATCCGTCCATGAAAATGTTGAAATAAATAATCTGTCCTCCTCTGGGAGGAACATAAGGAATCTGATAGGTGGTAACCCCAGATTGGGAGATTGTTTGTTTGTTCGTTTTTTCCTTGTCAACTTTTATAAAGGGAAGAAAATAAATAATCTGTCTCTGGTCATCTTGAAAATGAATACACTGTTCTACAAGGGCATGAAGATAAATAATCTGACTTGACAAATTTAGCCAGCCCCCTCCCCCCTTTCATTCCCCGGATCAAATGGGCGTACGTGTCCCCTCATTCAGCATCATTGAATGCACAAAATGCCCAATCAATCATTGTCGTATAGCAGTCTTATATAGTTAATTGGTATAGAGGTAGCACACAGCACTGCTGGCCCAAATTGCAACATTCAATCTAAAAGTGTCACATCAAAGTTGCTGTCATTCACCATGAAGACTTTGTTATTTAATTAGATAGAATATTGGTACTACTTTAACAGTTATTTTAGTATTGTTGAACATTGCAGCTACACCGGACACGACCGTGCTCCTGGTATCGGTAGACATGATTATCTGTATCATGTGCGCGTTAATCGTCTTGGGAGATATGGCGGGAAATGAGCCGAAAACCACGTGGTGGAACAATCTCAAACTAGCCATACTTATATTTATTATTTGTAAGTGTTAAACCTTCCTCAATTATCCATATTTTATATAATTATTTCCTGATTTTCCTACACAATGATTAATTAAATACACTACAACTCGTCTTATCTTTAGACTATAGTCTTTATAGGCCTCCGTTAATTGTGCCGATGGGTGTGCATACTTTCAATGGCTAAATTTCATTTCCAGTCATTCTTAACCTGGTCATCATAGGCCTGTTCGGACACAGTAGTATAACCCTGTCTGAGGAGCCGACGCTGGTGGTCAATGTTCCATATTCCCTGTTTATCCTGTCCTTAGCGGTGTTGCTAGCTCTCCTGGAGTTCTGTTTTCTCATCTACGTACATCGCGTCTCCACGGCCCCATACAGAACAGTTGCCACTACTTCAATAGAAGAGGACCAAGACCAACCGAGCACTAGCCAGCCGAGTATCAACAGACCGTGTTAGAGCGGGCACCTGCTGATGGAACTTATAGATCTAATTTTGGCATACTCCAGATTTGCCTGTCTTAAAAAGAATATGATTGTTTTTTTTTAAAAATTACAAATCATGAAGACATAGTAGTTTTACTGAGAATTTACTGTAAGATGTTTTTAACAAGCTGTTTAAATGACAATCTATAACTCACTTCAATATAAAAATTCATTGAAATATTCACATAATTAAGGAACCTTTTCGTCATACTAAGACTTCCTGATACATCAGTATTAAAACTTCCTGATTTCTGGAAGTTACCACACCTGATGAAAAGGTAGATCAGGGTTACCATAGTTTCTTCTAGTACAGCTAGTTAAAAAGTAGGTCAGGGTAGTATTTCCTTGTATAACCATTTTTTCTCATTAAGATATTATTTGGTTTCATACACAGTATTACACTGTATATACATATATCTTTAACCTTATGTGGAGATATATATATATATTCTAACTTAGAAAACAATACAATAATGATACCAATCAATCCAACTGGTATCAAACTGTCTGAAAACATGATGGATCTTTCATCCCATTTGTGAAAAGTAAAAACATATATTATACATTATTACATGTACATTTATTTTTATACTGAATGAGTCTCATTATGTTACATATTGGAATGTACTAGTATTATTTTCCTTATTACACACTTCATTTGTAGATCTAAACCAGGTAGAATATAAAAGTCCAGTTTATATGTATATCTTTTTGTTGGTTTTCTATACTATTTTGAATCATACATATACATGTATATATCCACCTACTCCCTCATTTTAAATTAAACTACAGTACAGCTGTATACCTTATAAACTTGATGTCTTACAATGTACATGTAACTATTATTTTTCATACAGTTCTTTTGGGGGGAAAATGTTTAAAAATCCTCAAAATCAGCAGGGTCATGATTGGTCATATTTATGGAAACTTCCTCATTTGGCTGACTTTGCCATATGTACCCAAGTTTTATGATCCTTATTCTCTTGTTATCACTTGGTTGTGAAATGTTTTTTTAAGTAAATATTCACTTTTTAATAATAAAATAATATAAAGGTTCACAAAATTAAATTGTAAGATCATGGTGGCATGACAGGAAGAGAGAATTGTCAAGCACCAAATGTACTAAAAAAAAAACCCAAATGATTTCAGCACCATTTATTTTTACATTATTTACAACAAATCAATAAAATAATTGCCATACTTTCTTTATTTACATATTTTGTGATAGCAAGATATAATTCAATTCAATATAAAGATGTATATACACCTTTGTTTCACAAATTTTAATAAATAACATTCTATTTTTAAAATATATACTAGTAATGAATCTCTTACAAAAAAATGTGCAGATCTAATAAAACAATTTTTTCAGTGAGGAGTGTTTTCAATGTATCCATGACAAGCTGAAGTAGGCAAAAATTACATATATCTGCACACACATGAATATAAATACATGTAATGTCCAACCCTGCATACTTTGAGTAACAATAATGTGCTTACAGTATCAGAGATGAAAATGAAACGTTCTGCAATGAAAGAAACTCCACACATGACAGCCTTTTTATATTATTTAAATCTTAACATTTTAAAAACAAATATATTTAAGAGTGTTTTCAGCTCATCTATTTCTGTGATCAATGTTTGTTCTACTTTTGGGGAGGTTTGACAAAGCCAGCCAGTGGAGGGGGACCAAAACTGGCTGGCTGAGGAGGAGGACCAGAGTTCATCCCTGGGTTCATATAAGGAGATGGCACAGAGCCCCTAGGGGGCATCATATTAGAAGTCCTCATTGGAGGGGGTCCGTGTGAAGGAGGTGTCATCAGGGGGACTCCCACAGGCTGGTTTGATGGAGGGGAGGGGTACTGTGACATAGGAGGAGGGACAGATCCCCTGGGTGGGGATGCTGCAGTGTTGTATAGCTTCACTGCTCCCTCTGGGCCAGGCATCTGGGGGGTCATTCCCTGAGGGGAGTATAGCTCCTTCAGGACCAATAATACTGTATCTTCAGACTCCCTGCAAAACAAAATAAAATTGTTTGAACCTTGATTTTTCTGTTGTCGATAGATTTCACAAAGAGCTCAGACTTTATATTAAAATTTTGTTGTTTTTTTTTGCTGGGTCTTACCAATAACATCCATGACTAGATAAAGCAAACAAGTAATCGTTAAAGCTTTCAATGGGTCGCTCCTGGAGGACAAAATCGATCCTGTGGCCCTCATTTAACTGCCCCATGTAGATATCTTCTTGTTGACTGGAGGCAACAGCTGTTAAATATAAATACATGTAATCCACATACTTGTACTGAGCACTCAAGGTTTAAGGCACATGTACAATATCAAGTGTGTATAATGTGTTAAATGTAAAATGACTAGTGTAGTATGTTCCTGCAATCAAAGGTAAATATTTACATTTCTGATAATTTTCTCTTAGATTTTATTTTCCAAAAAAGGAATGCAATTTCATTTGCTTGTAAATACATGTATCACCAAGTCAAAAATATAGTGCAATCATTTTTTTTTCTTCCAAAAATGATAGTTCAATGAAAACATTTACGGTTAGTCATCAGATACATTTTAATAATGTAAATATAAGATATGAAGTGTATGAAATATATTATGAATTTAATTTTTTGAAAATTAATGAGGTGCATGAACAACAATGCTTCATGCCTGCGTATTTATCATGAATCACTTATGCACTTCATGAAATATGCTTGGGTGAAGCACAGTTCAAGCCCTCACAAATTTTCAAAAATCAAATTCATTTCTTATATGGTACACATGTATATATGGTAAAATTATCTACCCTTATAAGTTTATATGGTATAAATGTTCTGTTATTTATATACATGTGTATACATTGAGTATACTGTTTATACTTTGGTTTCAGTAGAACTTTGTACAAATACTGTTAGTAATGAATATCCCTTTCTTACCCCAGAAAGCAAAGTCTACTGAAATTTAAGTCATATACAGTGTATACTGAAATAAATCAAGCCATAGAGAAATAATTTTATACATTACAAACAAATAATTTTGGAGTCAGTTTCCTAAAAACTAATACACTGCATATAACATCTTGATTTTCTAAATAACATGCTTCTTTTCTTAATCTTTATAATCAAAGTGTGACTACTGATTACACTACTCTGTTCTTGTTTAAGTGACCCTAGATCTTGTTAAGATAACCACTAGATATTTACATGACTGGTCATCATCCAGCTCCTGCATGACGGACGACATTTGGCTATCTACGTGCTGCTCCAGCGATTCTTCCTGGTTACGATGAGCTTTAGCAAACTCATTTATAGTGTTCCAGGTACTCTTCAGAGAATCAATGATCTTCTGTTTAATGTCAGCTCCAACTCTCGTCAAGCTTTCTTTTAATTCTTAAAAAAAAAAAAAATACATCTCATTCAAATGTGTTCTAGAAAAGGCTTTTGGTAAACTTTTTGTTTACTGATTACACATTGACTATTAGATACATTTGAAAAAAAAGCTTGCTGTTTCACTCTCTTCAATAAATCTATAACTGCTCAAAAGCTGACACTTTTTATCAAGAATAAAAATTTCATACATTAAGCCTTTCCCTAATATTAACAGTATTTGAAATATCCATGTGCCCAACTGCCGGAAACACATTAACTTTGTTGTGCACTAACAAATTTGCCTGTATCGATGCCCAGCTGGATGTATTAAAATTTAGACCAATTAAAAATTTACATACTATTAGATAAATCTGTCTCAAATCAACTAATTGTACTGGTAGCAAAGAATAACAAGCCAATCGGTAGAACTCATCAATCTATAGAATTGGGATCGAAGTTAAGCTGACCGACTCACCGCCACAAAGTCACTGTTATAGAATGCAGTTAAAACTAGTAGATCTTTGGCAGGGCTGACAACTCTTATTAGCAATCAGCCCTGCATGTGTATCTAATTTTACGAGTGTAATTAATATTACAGTGATTTTCAAACGCTTATATTAAGTAGTGAGTACTTGTTAATTTACTTAAATGAAATGCCTTGTGAAGGGGCATTACGACAAGTTTAAATGGAGGCTAAACAATGACAAATTATGTTAGATGAAACCTTTTCCTGCCCAAATGATGTAGCATAAGGACAGGTTTTATAAGTGTGTATGACAGGCTGGAGAGCTTACATGTTGAAGGTTTTCATGTTAATAATTTATCAAACTGAAGTCTTTTACTGCCTTTGTGATGTTGTATTTAGACATTAAACGACAGAAGAGTTTATATGTTGATGGAGAGTTTACATGTTGATGGAGAGCATACATGCTGATGGTTTACATGTTGATGATTTACCTAGTTGAAGCCTTTTTCTGACTGCAGTGTATCATTATGAGTGGTTTTACATGTATTTAAGGGTGCATAGACACAGATTTGAAGTTTATATTTTCTCAAATTTTCTGTATAATATCACAACTTATATGTTGTTATAGCATTTCACATGAAAATAAAATTAAAATCTTATTTAAACTGGAAATTATTGAAACTATGAATTTCGGGAGGCGTTTGATTAACAAATCCTTGCACTTTCACAATTTTTAACTTTATCCTTAATACTTAAGAAAAGTAGCAATTTTGTTGTGTATTAATAAAAAATATTACATCTATAATCCAGAAAATTCTGAGTAAAAATGTGCGAAAGCAAAACCCACTCACTTAAGTATTGTCAGCCCGTGCCCAGTGTTGTGTAGAATTTAACAAATTGAATACACCTGTGAAACGTAAACTGTTTTTGTAAACAGGGCATGAGCTCTGTTGTTGTTAATGTTTACATTTCACTGGATGTGTTCAATTGTTAAACTCTGCATACACCACTGAGCAGACTGACAATACTGGTGAGAGGATTTTGCTTTCTACATTTCTACTCTGAAATTTCTGCTTTATAGTTTTAATATTTTTCATTAATAAACAACAAAATTGCTACTTTTCTAAAGTAATAAGGATAAAGTTAAAATTTCTGAAAGTGCAAGGATATGTCTATCAAACGCGTCCAGAAATTTGAAGTTTCAATAACTTCCAGATAAAATAAGATTTTTATCAAATTTTCATATGAAATGCTATAGCAACATATAAGTCATGAAATTATACAGAAAATTTGAGTAAATATTAACTTCAAATCTGTGTCCAAGCACCATTAACAGTCTGGAGGGTTTAAAAATGTTGATTTACCTAGATGAAGCCTTTTCCTGCCCTTGTGATGTGGCATTAACACTGGTTTTATATGAGATGCTGAAGGATTGACTAAAGGTTCTAATCTGTAGGCCTGTAAAAGATATATATTAAAGAAAATAATAGAACTTTCTTCAAATTTCAAGGCAAAACATTTGATACATGAAACAAAATTAACTTTGGATTAAATTTTTTTCTTATAACAGTGTAATTTGCATTTGTGTGATAAAGTTCATTTTTCCATAAGGATGTTTACCTCTGATTATCTACTTACCACCGGATCAAACTGAAAAAAAATGAAGAAAATTTATAAATATTTATGACTTGGTAATTCATTTATGCATAAATTAGATGAATATGCCTCATCAATAGCTGCAGAACTGTAGCTCTCCGAAAGACAGACCAGAGAGCTACAGTGCCACCTATAGAAAAAAACTGTATATTTATTTCACACAAAAAATTGCACTCGGTTCTGAATTTATTTCTCCAAATTCTTACCTCAACTGCACAAAAGCTCGATTTCAAAAAAATCCTTAGACCTGTATCAACTACTCTTGTAGTTGAAATCTTTACGAAGTGCCTTTGGCCAAATTATCTAGCCACCCAAAATGGCAGTATTAACAAAGCGAAATTTTGGATGGTCTTAGTTTCAGGCCCAGGAGGGATATTAACAACGGTTATAGGAAATGTTTTGATAGGGAATAGTGCAAAAATGTGTTAGGAACACATGTACACGGTCAGTAATATTTAGAGATTGCAGTTTAAAAATACGGAGAAGTATATTGAGAAACAGCGCACTTTTTTGTGCGCAATAAATATACAGTTTTTTCTATGGGTGGCACTGTAGCTCTCCAGTCTGTAATTTTTTTTTCAGTGAGAGCTACAGTTCTGCAGCTACCTCATCAACAGATAGAAAACTTGATAAAACTCCTACTGCAGTAGCCTTAAACTAAAGTTTTCATTTAATAAAAGTATTCATAAATGCACTTTATTTATCATAGTATGTCGTAAATTATATGAACTAATCACTAAAAAAAATGTTACATGTAATCTATTTCCATATTGTCTGGGCAAAATTTGTAGTTTTAAGTTTAAAATATAGTAAAACATGGACATGCATATTTCAAATCTGTCAAAGACTCTCTTAGCTTCACACAAATATAGTCACTTACTGGATGAAAGATGTTGAACACTCTGGGACATGTGGGTAAAGTGAATTCCTCCCCAATGTTATCTACACCCCTAGCAGAGAGAAAGATCCCGATGGGTGATCCTAGAGCATACAATGTGTTTGGTTTGAAGTCCAGTTTAGGATACTTCACCGAGGGTTGTCCTGTCCCAGCAGGTCCTAACAGAAATTCCACAGACACACTGGAGCTGGATTGGACAAGTGACCTGATAAATAAAGGGAATACTGAATAACAATTCTAAACAGGATGTACACATATTACATGTATAATTATATATACTGTAGAAGCACAAATTTTGTTGAGATAAAATTTCGTTGATTTGTCAGCTAAAAAGGTTTCGTGGGCATTTAATTTCATTGTTTTGAAAGTAACCCTATTCAATTTATAGTCATATAAAAATTTCATGCGGGATTTAATTTGTTTGATAATTGTTAACAACGAAATAAACAAACATTAACCCCCCACGAATATTTCTGCTTTTACAGTATATATACACTAAACTGTAAAACATCATTTATTGGTACATGATGAAGAAAAATTTGATCAATTCAAACATCTGAGATTAGGTGCCACAGAAAATACCTGTGAATTTATACCCCCTACGTGGTATTTAACATTGGTTTACACTATGTGGGTAGATAATGATGTAATTCAGTTTCCATACTTCTCTTGTGAAGCCCTTGCTTCCCTCATTTCAGCTGCCACCTGCTCTCGGATTCTTCTCTCCTCTGACTCTTTTATTTTCCTTTCTTTGTCATGTTTTCTTTTCTCCTGCAAAATAATAAACTTCTTAAATATGGTTTCCTTTTAAAATGAAAATGGACCAATTAGCATCTCTGTTAATGAAGCAATAGGAACTAGAAATATGTCCATAGGACATGAATGCCCCGCCGAGGGTATATTAGTAATGAAGCATTTTAACACAATTTGAGAAAAGTGAGGTCAAGGTCAAAGGAAAGGTCAAGGTGAAAAAATATAGATGAAGTTGAATAGCTTTCATCAGTATGTATCAGCATATGAAGTTTGACACTAATTTAAGAAAAGTGAGGTCAAGGTCAAAGGAAAGGTCAAGGTAAAAAATTGTTGATGCAGTTGAAAAGGTTACATCAATATGTATTAGCATATGAAGTTTGATAAAAATATTATGAATGGTTTCTTTAAAACTGAGCTAAACACTAATTTAAGAAAAGTGAGGTCAAGGTCAAAGTAAAGGTCAAGGTCAAAAAATATTGATGCAGTTGAATAGCTTACATCAGTATGTATCAGCATATGAAGTTTGACACTAATTTAAGAAAAGTGAGGTCAAGGTCAAAGGAAAGGTCAAGGTCAAAAATTGTTGATGCAGTTGAAAAGCTCTCATCAGTATGTATCAGCATATGAAGTTTGATAACACTATCTTGAATGGTATCTTTAAAACTGAGCTAAAAACTTATTTAAGAAAAGTGAGGTCAAGGTCAAAGGAAAGGTCAAGGTAAAAAATATTGATGCAGTTGGATAGCTCTCATCAGTATGTATCAGCATATGAAGTTCGTTAAAAATATCTTGAATGGTATCTTTAAAATTGAGCTAAACACTAATTTAAGAAAAGTGAGGTCAAGGTCAAAGAAAAGGTCAAGGTCAAAAAATGTTGATGCAGTTACATAGCTCTCATCAATATCTATCAGCATATGAAGTTTGATAAAAATATCTTGGATAGTTTCTTTGAAACTGAGCTTTGAACAGAGCTAAACGCAAAGTGTGACGGAAGGACAGACGGAAGGACAGAAGGATGGAGGGACGGAAGACGGACATGACAAACATTATATGCCCCGGCCATATTCATGGCGGGGCATAAAAACATGTAGATTTAGCGTACCTTTTTGGCCTGTTCCTCTTTCAGAATGCCCTGTAATTTTTTCCTAGGGCCCATGGGAAGTCCTAGATCTTTAAGATCACTCTCTGTGCACATTGTCTGTAATCACAACAAGAAATACAAGTCTACTAGTCTCCTCCCTGAATTCACTTATAACGTATACATAATTACAATAAATGTTACTTCAGTCTGGGATCATAAAAAGAATTTATATAGTTAAGTATATTATATTTTTGTTACACTGACCAGCGCATCAAGATCGATTTGTTCCTGTTCAAACATGGACACTTTGTCCTGAAGGCCCACACGACTGAGAAGTTTCTCCAGAGTTGTCTCCTCTTTCTCTATCTCTTCTGTTTCTGTGATAAAGGAGGTCTGTAAACAGAAAAAGGATTTTATAAAAGAAAAATTATTTTGAAGTTAACTTTAAATACTAAAATACATATAAAACTGTACATTCAAACCTTGTTATCTCAAACTCAATGAGACTGAGAAAATTTTTTTGAGATATCTGAGGATTCGAGACATCCATAAATATAAATACTTAAAAAATAAGAGGTTGGGACTTCCAAATCACTTCGACACATCCATAATGTTCAAGATATCAGTGTTCAAGATACTGAAGTTCAACTGCAATTGTTAAACTAATATATTTCAACTAATACTTGAATCCATTGTACATTTGAGGACAATCAAATAATTTTTTGAAATTAGGAGGTGAATTTTCAATTAAACCCCAGGTACAATTTTTTTCTCTGCCAAAAAATCCTTTTTTCCCCTTTTCAAACCAACTGCAGCTTAACAAATAAAATCTCATAGTAAACAGTATGACATAAAATACCTACATTTGATAGACCTGACATCTCCACTCCATTAGTCTGTTGTATGGGCTCACTCGGTAAGGAAGGGTCAATACTCTGGTCAGATTTGTCATTCTGGTGCATCAGTAAATCAAACAGCACACAGGAACCTAAAAATAAAGATTTTAACTTGCAATCTTTCCACTATTTATGCATTGAAAGACTTAGGTGTCAATGAAAACGTTTTAAAATCCAGTAAATGAACAATCACCGAGTGTTCCATGCTAGTAACACTTGGTGGTGGTGGTGGTGGTGGGATGGGAGGAGGAGGGGGTACAAGATTTATAAAAATTCACCCAGATTGCCCTGCTACTGAAGCTGTATCTTGGAATTGAGGGACTTAGCCCTGGCACTAATTTTGTTCCATTTTTTGACACTCACCCAGACTGTGCACTGCTACTGAAACTGTAGCTTAGAACTGAGGGACTTTGATGGTGGGTAGGTGAGGAAAGGAAGGGGCTAGATTTATAGACACTCACCCAGACTGTGACCTGCTACTGACACTGTACCTTGGAACAAGGGGACTTCGATGGTGGGTAGGTGAGGAGGGGAGGGGGCTAGATTTATACAAACTCACCCAGACTGTGCCCTGCTACTGACACGGTACCCTGGAACTGAGGGTTTCTCTCCAGAAACAACTGATGAAGTCTGTTCATTTCATTTCCTACTTGGTCTGCTATTGTCTGCAAAAAATGGGAAAAATCATGGAAACAACAGGTCAATATAAAGATATCATTATCATTAGAAGCTACAACTTTTACTGTTTCAATATTGCTCTTTACCATAAACTCAAACACTTACAATAATGTCAATAAAATAACAAATCATTTAATTTCAAAATCTGGGCAATACCTGGCAGTATGTAGGACTTGTGTAGAACAGTACATCCAGCAGTGTGTCATTAATGAAATTACGTAATTTGGGTGTGCTGGGCAATGTTATGGCTTTTAACCTCCTGCAACAATAATGTTGTCATATTTTATCACAAGCTTATGAAAAATGTGTATTTCTAATATACCATATATTGAATATGAATTCAATGATTCAAATACATATAACTTATTTAGATCAGTGTGTCTCTTGTTTGAACTTTGAGCTATGTAGTAAAACTTCTACAGAAAAATAATCAAATGGTGAAAATTAAATCGGAAATGAATGACGCTATTGAGTGTTAGTAAAAGGTACCTTGCTTATCCAGTCTGCTAGTGACAGATATCTTACTTATCCAGTCTGTCAGTGACAGATATCTAACTTATTCAGTCTATTAGTGACAGATATCTTACTTATCTAGTCTGTCAGTGACAGATATCTTACTTATCCAGTCTGCTAGTGGCAGATATCTTACTTATCCAGTCTGTCAGTGACAGATATCTAACTTATCCAGTCTATTAGTGACAGATATCTTACTTAATATCTAGTCTGTCAGTGACAGATATCTTACTTATCCAGTCTCATAGTGACAGATATCTAATTATCCATTCTGTAAGTGACAGATATCTAATTATCCAGTCTGATAGTGACAGATATCTAATTATCCAGTATGTTAGTGACAGATATCTTACTTATCCAGTCTGTCAGTGACAGATATCTGACTTATCCATTCTGTTAGTGACAGATATCGTACTTATCTAGTCTATTAGTGACAGATATCTTACTTATCTAGTCCTGTTGTGTCTCCATGTAACGCTGAGTGCCACTGTACCGGGATAAATTCCACTCTACCAATGCGTTTCTGGTCAACATAGGTACCAAAATGAGACTTGAGCAGACTCAGGGAAATAGAGCGGAAGTCATCAACTAGTCATCAGACATAATAAGTTTCATGAATAAAATTTTTAAACTTTCACAAGAATATTTTTTTTTTCTCTGTTTTCATGAAGAATACATCAAATTTTTCTCTGTAAACTTACCACACTCAATGATGTTTCTGAACTTGACATCACAGAAGTCCCCAATGCCGTGTACCACAAACACGAGGTGATCTATCTGTATAGGTTCTCCTGTACATATAAACAAAGTATTGAAGCAAGCAAAGTATGAATTTAATCAGTTCTCAATAAAACAGAGGAAATATTAGGAGAATAATGATTTATACAACTCAGTTACTCTAAAACTTAATCGTTGAATATGACATGGTTTTATTTCATTCGTATCAAATACCAGTTAAAATATGCTTACCATCATTAATTGTTTGGAAGTCTTCTATTCCTCTTTTAACAACTCTGGGACGCATGCCTTCCCCCTGAAAAATGACAAAAATGCTGCTGCAATCATCAATGTTTCCCTTCTAATAAGAGAAAAAGAACATATAAACGTATTTTAACAATCCTACACATATATGAATTCATCACAAAAAGGAACATTTAAGATGACAAAGTGTGTGCTGTTAATCAAAACTTATCTTTATTATGATCCAGGCATTAATATAAACTATCCAAAATTTTAATGAGTTTTGATATTTTCTATTTTGATGTCATATGAAGGGTAAAATTTTGCAATTGTTGTACCTTCTTTTACTTACAGATAATAACTGTACACATACCATAGGACATTAATTTTTATCAGTAAGGAAATGCTTTATTATGAAGAGAGTTATATTAATGGAATGATTTATCAATAACATTACAACATAATAAATGTACACTAAAAACTTTACAATGGCCTAAGTTCAAGAATAAAGGATAAATAATAATGTTGATTCAAGGATTGAATCCAGATTGGAGCAGCATGGAAACACTAATGAGTTTAAAAAGGAATTACTGAAAAACATTACAGGTAATAAAAAATGCAAATGTGACACAACTAAGAAAAGTCTGGGTAAAACAGGCGTAGAAATGAAAATGTGAAAACTTAAGCTCTGTGGTTAAGTAGCATTAACTACACACTCACCACTGACGAAGAAGGAGCCTTTAAAGAGAAAAATGGTGTTCTATATATATCTCACATGCCAGATCAAATAACTTAGGTATATATACAATATACATGTAGTTACAAGCAGTACTGCAAAGAAAGGTAATGAAATCAATTTTCCCATTTTTCTCCTTGATTTCAAAATAAACTGATCTAATAGGCATACAGTGGTACATCAGACATATAGAAAAGAAACTACATATAAATATGAGTGGTATTATACAGAATGTTTCTAATCACAGCTAGTAGTGAAAATAAATGCCCACAAAATAAACTTACATGCAGTTCCTCATACTAAAATTGAACCAATTTGTTTGTACATGCAACTATAAATGATATATTTCATAATTTATTTATCCACTATAGCTGCTAGTGAACATTAAAAGTTATCTAATACCTGAGTGGACCCCCATTCATCTGGCTGTGATGAGGCTGTGAAATGAACTATGACATTTGCATTATGCATGACAATTGTCTCCCCTCCTGGAAACTCTAAGCGTTTATGCCAGGTGTTGTACTGAAGGGCATTTCTATACTCCTCCTGAAAAAAATTGATGATTCAAAAATGTTATAAATATTCAAACACTGATCATGAATTAAACTAGAAAACGGACAAAGTCATACAGGACACCAAAGTATGCTTCTATGTATATTTATAATCTGTAAGTTGAAAGGTACTCAACTTAAGGTCTCTTTCATAAAAGTAACAGATGGATGGAAAGATTGCCCCACTATGTACTAAAATGCAACCACATCTTGATGTGGGGCTTTAATAATTATCATATCTATATATCACTTTTAAATTTTATATTTCAAAAGCATGATCAATTTAAGATAATCATTGTATAATATATACCTCTAACTTCTGTGCAAAATGTTCCTCATAGGGAACATATCTGTTGTCTCCTTCTCTTTTGTAAAACCAGGTACATCGTCGGATGGGGTTGGGTGATTCTTCCCAGTATACAGCTACTCGCTGTCTGTCAGAAAGTATAGCATCATAACGACCACCTTCTGTTGGTATCGGATCAGAAGTTTTACCTGAAGCCAAAATATCAGACAAATAAGAAAAAACAGTTAAACAGAAACAAATAATTATGTGTAAGACAAGCATTTCATAATTAATTATCAGGTCAAGTTAATAAAATCTGTAAGGTGCTAACCAGATCTAAGAGCATCCTCCAGTCGCATGCTGTCCACTAAAGAGAATGGATACCAGATGTCACGATTCTCCACTTTCTTACAGAAACACCAATGTGGCTGAACAGGAATGTAGATACCACTCCCTTCTACAGTAGCTCCAGTCCCTGAGGGAGGGGGAACTGTGGCAGTAAAACTGGGCTTAGGGGGCATTGGGGACTGGGAGGATGGGGGTTGGTGAGTTTGATTCATTGTTGGAGGCACCTACAAATTTTCAAGATACTAAAGTGTTTTTTTGTTACAGTTGGAGAAACCTACAGATTTGTAAGATACTAAGTTTGTTTTTTTTTTTTACTGTTGGAGACACTTACAAATTTGTAAGATACATGCACTTATTGTGTTTATCTCCATTAATAATAAATAATAGTATCAATAAAGCTTTATCTGTCTTTTTTCAAGTTTTTGTTGTTATGAAAAAAAAGAAAAAAAATATCCACAAATACATGTACATATAAATTGTTCTTACCATTCTTCAGTTTATTTTAAACATATTACAATTTTGCATTAAAATGAAGGGAAAAAATAAGTCCAGCAAAACTGAAAAAAAAATTGTGCTTGCAGAAAAAAAAGAAGTTTAACAGTAATGTTTTATCCCTTTACAGTACGTACAGTCATTTATGTTAATCAGTTACATTAAACAAATCTTACGAACCTGGGCCACTGGAGGGGGACTAAACATTGATGGTCCTGAAGATGGCACCGCTAAAGGGGGCTGACCTTGGAATTGGGGTGGACCACCTACCCCTCCACCAGTAGGAGCATAGGTTCCTTGAGGCATTTGTGCATATTGTACTTTTCTTAGACTTTCAGTTTTTCTGAATGCATTTGCAGAAGACGGACCTAGATTAAAATACAAAAAGAATTGAACAACTCTATCAAAGCAAAAAAAATCTTTGAAAATTCAAAGATCATACTAATATTAAGTCTGTATTTTCATAAACTGACTTATTTAACAATCCTATACATAATTATTTTCATCAAAATATATACATGTACTTAAGTAAATCATTGATTAAAAATAGCCCTATTCTAGAGTTGTAATCATCAATCTCTCTGATATTATCAGTGACATAACAACACTTCTATTAGATTGATGTACATTTGTTACACATTGTATTATCATACCTGGAGGGGGGCCTGCAGGAGTCGGTGAAGCAAATGATGGGGGAGGCATTGGGGCTGCAACATTAGACTGCATCCTTGGTGTTGACTGAGGAGGCAGTGGATTGTGGCCAACATGTGCAAAAGGATCTGATCCTGAGGGTGTGTTCTGAAAATGACTGAATGGAGTGCTGTGGGTAACACTCTGTGAACTTTGGGGTGGAGTCTGTCCCACAAAACTATCGGCTTCTCCTTCTTCATCTATTGATTTAAAAAAAAGATGAAAAATATTATGAAAAGCATTTATGTTTCACATTATAAACTACAGTGAAAATCTTATATATATAACCCAATGATTGCATACTAGATAGAATGTTCAATCGTTAAAATGATATTGTCCTACGGACCCGGTTTAACGATAGAATTCGTTCCGTGTACTGGCAATGTTGCAAAATAACCAGGGCGATAACTCGAACTCTGTGCATTTTCTATGAACAATCCAGAGAGTTCCGAATGTCAACATGGTGTTAAATTTGAAGCGAGGAAAAAACGTTGACAAAATGAGTTGAATTTTGAATTTTTCGTATTTATATGGATTATTTTTAAGGCTAAAAGGCATATACAATCACAAAAAGGTTTGTTATGATTAATTTGGTTGTTATTTTCAGTGCAACTCCTTTTGTATTCTTCAAAATCATTTCGGAGTGGATCCACTCCGATTTGCTACATTGCAAGTATATGGAACGTATTCTAACTGTGGTGAGGGCTTGTCCCGAGACACAGTTAGATTATTCTAACTAATTGCATACATGCACCTTCATTATGACAGGTGTCATATTACATGTACATGTATACATGCATAATGCAGCTGAAGTACATGTATAAATATAAGGAAAATACTAAATATACTTCAAATACATAAATCTGAATTCCTTTCAAAAATGCTGTAAGTTGTGTATTTTACTGAAACATTATTTACATTTGCAATTTGAACCATTGTATTTATTAAAATGTCAAATTCTGCCCCATATGTTTTAAGGATTTTTTTTACAATAGTCCCATCAGTTGTTCATTCAAGAGAATACGGTAGCTACTGTATACGAGCATTGCCAATATAAGATTTTTTTAAACATATATCTCCACCACCGAATTCAAACACCTGATACGTCACTGTCATATGGCAGCCGGTATTCTGTTTAGCTGAAATAAAACAATTTTAAATCGTACCTGATCCCAATAATGAAGGCTCCGATTGCACCACTGGCATTAAAAGATTGGATTGCGTGGGAGGATTCAAAGTAAGTCCCCCTCCTGCTGGCATTAGCAGCAGAGGGGGTGGTGTGGTATCCTTCTTTCCCTTGTCTGCCATCGGAACAACACGTCATTAATGGAACTCTTTTGCAATTGAAAAACACAAATGGATATAGGAAAAGTCCAAGTCGCTTGTGTGTTTAGTATTGCAGGTAGAGATTATTGTGTATACAGTCTTCATTCGACATGGATTAACCACACAGACGACATTTGTGTCGTGAGATTTTTTCCCCTGCTGTCAGTAAGCTCTGTCAGTACTGAAAAATGAAAAATACAGAAAAGAATATCGATAGCTTAGAGGGTGCTGGGGATGCAGCAGCTGAGAAAGAAGTGGAAACGAAACAAACGAGTATGCCCAATAAAAAGTTTAACGATGTAGAATAATTAATTTGTAAGAGATAAATAATGTTTTGATAGATGTTTAAAGGGAACGTCAAACGGATTAACTGTGTTTGAATTGTGTATAAATCATGTCAGAAGTGACATCACAAATTTACAGTAATTTCACACTTAGTATTTAATCACGAGTTGATTTAACCAGAGAACATGAGAAAGAGGGATTAGAAACTAGCCATTGACAGATTTAAAATATATGCTAGCCTTTGTATAATGTCTAATATGTTGACGGTGCGACCGTTAGGGCGAGCGCAGATATTTATTCACGGGCTCATTCATCAAATTGCATTTGGTGCGTTTAGACTCTGACGTCACATAACGTCGTATTTAAATTGCATTAATTACCAAACTGAAGCCTGAACATTGTTGACTTTCATGAAGAACGTTTTATTTACTATTTATCTGCAATATATCCATAGCCTTTAAATCAAGGCTAGTTTATTCTTTGTTAGTTAAACTGTTGTTGTTATTCTCGCGAGAACGTAGCTTAAACAAGCGATGCATTGTGGGTCCAGAATTACTGCGGAAAAAAATTCTATTGAATGAATGTGCAGTAGTCCGAATTTTCTCTTCACCCAGGTGTTGTCGTTAGAGCTCGCAGTGACAAGCGGCGCTTTGCGCTGCTCGCTGCGCTCGCTTTAATGCTACAGTAACTCACTTTCACTGGTTTAATTTTGATTAAAGTTTGTTATTTAAAGCAATATGAGCTGCATTTTTGAGAATTTTATTTTGCTGTTACAATGTGCTGTTATGATAATTCTGTATGAAATTTAAACTTTTATCATCAATTAGACTAAAATAAATTATTAATTTTTTCAGAAGAAAAATTTCTGTACAATGGAATGTAAAGTATTATATAAGAAATTAATATTGTACAGGACGACAATAATGTAATTTTGCTTCAATCAAAACTTCTAAATAGTTCTTCCATCGCAAATATGAACAACAGAAGTTTATAGTGTTCTTTTTTTCTGTCATTGAAATTGTTAATTACGATTTTGCCTCAAAAATTTCGGACATAAAAGTTGTAGCTCATATTGCTTTAATATGTTGACGGTGCAACCATTAGGCCTAGAGTGTCAGCGCTGATACCTAGTCATGCAGTTTTAATTTATTTAGATCCGCCTCTTCAAACCGCACCTGATGTTCGGAATGTCTAGACCCTGATGTCACACGATGTTGTATGTTAGTTGCATAATCATAACAAAGTCTGTAAAGTGCAAATTTTAGCATAACCATTACGAAGTCTGCAAAGTGCAAATTTTTAACATAGAATATTGTTTAATCTATTATTTTTCTGCAATATCCATTAATATTGTCAGGTAAGTTCATTTTTTGGGAACATTTTGTTGTAACTGAGAGCTAGAATAGAGTTTTCAACGAGATGCAATTTGCAAAGGATTTAGGGTCAAGAGGTTATGATCAATGTGCACAGTCAGAATTTTCTCTTCACCCAGGCACATTGTACTGTGCTTACTTTAAATTTTTAAAACTATACATAAACAAACAAAAGCAAAAATATCAAATCATTGTGTCTATAATTGAAAAGTGGTCAAATTATTTGTGGAAGGTTTGTAAGTTCAAGTCAAAATGACAAATGTCATCTTGAAAAATGTAGTTCATATGAATCTTAATTTCCCTGTGTACATAAATTGATAATTCTAATGAATGGATAGTGATCTCCAATCAGGATTCTGGAATGAATCCTGTTTGTTATTAACACTAAGAAAGTTTTTATTATTACATTCAGGAATGTCCGTGATGAGCTTCATCACTACAGAGTTGACCAGAGGATACCTTTTAGAGAGAGATAAAGCAAAATTCTCAGAAAGAAGACAGAGAGTTTACACATTTATGAAAACTCCTCGAGAACTGGAAAAAGTAATGCATTTCATAAGCTTGTTATTTGGATTTTGTGATTATCATTACATGTATTTAAAGAAATTGTTGTTTTAGTGAGCAAATATTTAAATGTTTAACTGAAATACTGTAAATAAATACTGTATTAATTTTGAAACTGTATTTCTGATCAGTTAAACATATAAATCTTTGCTGACAAGTTCAACAATTTCTTTAATGCAAATATGCATGATAGTCTTCTCAAAATCAAAGTATACTATGAAATCACTTACTTTTATGAGGGTTTAAATTTTATTGCTTTCATGTTATGAAGAGACCCACGATTTATATCCCCAACAAAATATCAAAATTTCATACTGCAGTATAATTTTATCTTTTAACCATGAAATCAAATTACTTTGAACCAGAAGTTTTTCCTGCAGAAACCATGAAAATTTGACTTCACAAAAATAAGTGAAATTTTACGGTATTTTTGAGTAAAACAGTGTACTGTATAAATGTGTACACATGTTTGATCATGCTTATATTTTGAGAAGAAATTTATATTGAAAATTGAAATCTGAAAATTAGGAAAATATGCCAGGTAGTAAATGTTTGGGGGGAAAATGACCAAATTTCCAAGGGAAAACTGCCTGTATTCAGCATCAAAAGCACGATTACTTAGGTATTATTAATGAATAAGTAACAGTTATAAATTTGAAATATTACCCATTAGATTAACACGTATCATGTATATTTTTTTACAGTTCATAGTGTATGGATTTTTCCAGTGTTTAGATGCATTCCTGTTTTATTTCACATTCCTTCCAGTAAGAATTTTGCTAGCATTGCTGAAGATCTTGACCCATCCATGTGGAGTTCTTATCCCAAGGTATGATACGGATCACTGTAGAACCTTAATGTTTATAGTTTTAAAATATCTTTATGTTTCCCAGATTATAATTTTTTTTTTTCAAAAGAGGTGTTGAAATGTATTTCGTATTAATGAAAAAACACTCTTTAAATTTTGTCTCTGCGAAACACCATGAGACTTGGGGAGACAAAAATTTACTGTATGCATAAATGTGTGTATTATATGTGGTAGAAAGATTGTCAGATTGGACTATAAATTACATTTCTTTGTTTTAGGTATGAAGTTTTGGAGCCTGCACAGATTTGTGACATATTGAAGGGGGTGATTCTAGTGGTCTGTTTCCTTATTGTTAATTATATTGACACCTCAATGATGTATCACCTAGTCAGAGGACAAGCAGTTATCAAGCTTTATGTTTTCTACAACATGCTGGACGTAAGTTTTTGTGTGAATAATTAAATTTGTGAAGCACCAGCCACCAGATAAACTGCATGCAGTTCATACCTGCAGATCTTTTGGCTTGTAGAAATTTGAATTTTAGCAAAATTTGTAATATCTATCTATTTACAAAGAAATTACAAAATTTGCACCTGCAGAAAGGAAAAAAAAACAGTTATATGGTATAATTTCACTAAAACTTTATGTTTGATTTTAGGAAAGATTGATACTAGTAAATTATTGGTTCTTTGGAAAAATATTACTTCTACAATACAGATTATTTCTTGCAAGATATTGTCCATTTATATTTGTGTTTTTTTACATATTGAAATTTTCAAATTGACAGATGGCTGATAAGTTGTTTTCAAGTTTTGGACAGGACATCTTGGATTCCTTATTCTGGACAGCCACTGAACCAAAGGACAGAAAGAGAGAACACATTGGGGTTCTTCCTCATCTAGTGATGGCAATTATTTATGTTGGTATCCTTATACAATCAAAGTACATGTACTGAAAGTACCAGCAGTATCATTCTCAAAATCCTATTCATTTCCCTTCATTATCACCTTTATTGTTTTAGGATAAAGTCCCTGAGACATAATTCTAACCCCTTTCCCCCTTCAATGTTCATTTGCCACTCCCTCTGTTCAAGATTCACTTTTTTGTGCTGCTTACACAGGACAAAATGCTTAAGCAAATGCTTAATGGTGGCTTAAGGAGGTTAATTCTTGTAAGCCACGAATAAGCTGCAGCTTAAAAATCACTTCTTTAAGCCACTATTTTCACCTTTATTCAAACTTTCAACAGTCTTTAAACCATCTTTAAGCTATCTTTAAGTTACCTTTACACTAGTACATTGTATTCTTTAATTATTTTATCTTGCCAAATATAAAAGCTGGAATAACATATTTGTGAACATGTTGAACAATGTTTAAAAGCTAGTAATTTCTCTCATACATTTTTCCTATGATTTTGGTTATATGTTTAAATACATGTTTTAAAAGAATTTTTACCAACCCACAAACACATACAATGTAAATTTATTTATTTCAAAAATTATTTGAAGTTTAGTTTTTTCTCTTGTATTTGGAAATCTACATTCCACTACTAAAAGCAATAGGAATACTGTCTGGAAGAATCCTTTTCTTTAATGAAGATTTTGAACAATTCTGTAAATCGAACTGATACAGTATGTATTGAATTACTTTGTCTTGACATCATATATACATGTACTATCACTCTCACTAAAAATGTTTAAGATAAAAAAATGGAGTGAATTAATAATCTTTACCCATGAGATTAAGACTGGTCTTTGCTCATCAAATTCTTGTTCCATCAGAAACAATTTTAATTAATTTATGTTTGTTTGGTTGTTTTTTTTTTTTTTTAATGGTTTCATAACATTTAGTTACGCTTTATTTCATAACAATGCAAACATTTAACAAAATTTAATGAGCTTAATAAGAAAGGCTGGTGTTCATAATTTTACGTTTTAATAGAATTTGAAACAATGAAATGTTATTTCTAAATTAATTTTAACAAATCTAAAGAGTGGAATAAAGGTGACACCTGATCAGATGTATACACAACAGGAATCAGTGTAAATAACAGTGTAGGGTAGCAAACAGAGTAGACAATACTGAAAAGACCTAGCTGTCAAGGCCATGAACTCTGAGTCTCCGGTCAGCTAACAAGATGCTATTACACAACAGTGACAGGCTTTGGTGATAAATTATTAAAAAAAAATTTAAAGTAATGCAAGTATAACAACAAAATGAAGATTAAGATTGTTTGCAATAGGATGATTATTTTGATACCTGTCATGGAATAAAAAGAATTAAAACTGGTCTGGATATGTTAAGAAATATTTTCAGAGTCAAATGTTATACAAAAATTATCAAATTACTCAGCATACAAATAGATGAAATTTATGGGAATATTTATGAAAATATAACCTGGTTTTTATTAGGTAACATGAGTCACTCAGGTGACCTATTGCTATCTGTTTTCATCCTTTGTCTTGCGTTGTGTGTTGTGCCATGTGCATCGTCCGTAAACATTTGAACATTTTCAGCTTCTTCTTTGGAACTGCTGAACCAATTTTGGCATACAGCATATATGAATAAGGGGGAACAAATTTTTTGAATTTCATGGTCCCTGCCCCCCTGGGGCCTGAGGAGTGGGGCTAAAACCATCAAAATTAGTGCTATCTTTAAAAGTCTTCGTCTTTACTCCTGGACATCAAGCAGTTGAATTGTTGTCATGATTGTAATAAACATTGAGTCCTCTACCAAAATTTTGAATTCCAGGGCCCCAGGGTCAGGGGCTCTGGTGTTAGGGTGGGGTTCTGATTATGTAGTGAAAGTGCATTATTTCTTTGAAAATCTTCTTCTCTGCTCCTGGGTATCAAACAGACTAACTATGTACATAGTTATGATAAGCAAGAATGTCTCTTTCAAAATTATGAATTTCATGGACTCTGGGTCAGGGGTTCTGGTGTTAGGGTGGGGCTCTATTGATTATACAGTAAAAATGCATTAATTCTTTGAAAATCTTTTCTCTGCTCCTGGGTAACAAACTAAGTGCATGGTTATGATAAGCAAGGATGCCTCTCCTAAAGTTGTAAAATTCATGGCCCCAGGGTGAGGGGTTCTGGTGAAATGGGGGTCTATTGATTATATACCCGGTAGTAGAAAAGCACAATTTCTTTGAAAATATTCTTCTTTGCTCCTAGGTATTTAGCAAACCAACAAAAAAAATAATCTTTCCTGCTTCTGGTTATATACAAAGAAAAGTGTATGAGCAGTAGTGCTTCTTCCAGAATTGTGTTTCATGGCCCCTGGCTCTATTGATAATAAGGTGAAAATATGTTAATTCTTTGAAAATCTTCAACTAAGTGTATAGTTATGATGATGAGGGTACCTCTTCCAAATTTGTGAATTTCTTGACCCTGGGTCGTGGGTTCTGGTATTAGGGTAGGGCTGTGCATAATCTGTAGTGAAAATGCATTATTTCTTTGAAAATCTTCTCTGCTCCTGGGCATATCAAAGGCAAAACTTGTAAAAGTTTTAATAAGCAAGGGTATTTTTACCAGATTTTTGAACATCTGGACCATTTAGCCAAGCATTCTGGTCCTGTTCTATTAATATGTATTCTACTGAGAGAAGTTATTCCCCTTTGCCTTTCACTTTTGATAATTAATCACTGTAAAGGTTAATATGATGAGTTAATCATGCAAGAATTTTTATTGTATAATATAATAAGTACTTTTATAGTTTTAATGATCAGGTAGACTTGTAAATGATAGATAAATAAAAATGACACAAAAATAACTTAATATTTTATAAATTGTTCTTCAAAGACCAAGCGAGGCCAATGTGAGAAGGTAATGAAACAAGGTTAAAAAAAAGTACAGAAGCACTCATGGTTTGTTAATAGTCTGCATGGTGAGAGTGATAAATGGAGGACAGATTAGAACTTGATTCTTTAGTTGTTACTGAATACTAGACTAATTATTTTGTTGATCCTGATCATCCTACTTCTCTTGGGCAACAAAGCATAATTCATGTATCAGTTTATTTTATACTCTATGGATCCTTTAAATTGTTGTATGATACTCAGGTGACCATTTAGGCCCTTGGGCCTCTTGTTCTTTTTCATCAACAGTAATATATATTTAGTGTACTAAATTAAAAATTAAAATTTTGTAACACAGGATCCTATTAAATTTACAGTATGAAGTAAAAGACGTTGAGTTTATATACGTAAAAAAGGAATCGGGTTATAAAGTATTTTTATCATGCCAAATCGTTCAGGCATATCTTTGAATTTTGAAGTAATATTAAAGAGTATTTCTTTATATCATAAATATAATCCCAGTTCTATGTTTTTACACAAACCTTAGTCTCATACACTTCTAGCCAACTATATGGATTCCATATTACAAGTCTAAATACAAGAGCTGCATTGTGATGGGGCAACGTGTTTACCTTCTGAGAATAGGATTGTGAGTTCAGTTCAGTGTGCAGAAGTTTTTTTTTTATTATTATTTTCCTCTTTTTTTCAAAAACAAACATTATTCATCTTGTTGACAAATTTGTAAATCCAGCATTTATAATTGGAGAGATTCAATAAAAGAATAATATTTTACCTAGCAAAATGTATATCAGTGTATGGTGTTAGGTGACTTTAAATCTGGCTTAAAGATGGTTTAAAAGACTTTGGACATTAAGTACCTTTAAGTCTGGCTTAAAGGTGGCTTAAAGGTGATTTAAAGATGTCTAGAAGCCACCTTTAAGCACCTATAATTTATCTATAAGACACCCTTAAGCTACCTTTAATCATCCTCTAAGGAGTTAAAGATGGCTTAATGGTACCTTAATGATTGTTTATATGCTAAATATCAGTATTTTAAGGATGCTTAACAATAACTAATCAGTATCAAAGAAAGTTGAGTGTATAACGGTGGAGTGATGTACATGTATATGCTCATGCTGTATTATTATTTCATTAGCTTTTTTAAAAAATAAATTAATGTATCTGGACCAATAAGAAGTGTCTAAGAATTATTCTAAAAAAAATTTTAGTCATTGAAATAAAATGCAAATTTCCTTAATAATTGTGTAATAGTAATCCATACTCTTCTAATACTGTTCCAAGCCACAGTCCTTCTAGTGGCCTTTAACTCCCACAACAAAGCCTTGCTAACAGTTATGATGTCAAATAATGTAAGTATTACTTGTAGTGAAAATATGGCATCAACTTAGAGACATGTAGGCATTTTTACATGCAGATATTGAATATTCATGTTATTTCTAGAATGAATGTAAAAGTCATGTAATTAAACTACCATGTAAAGTAACAACTCTATCCAAATTTTTAGTTTGTTGAAATAAAAGGCAGTCTCTTTAAGAAGATAGACAAGGGATTCCTCTACCACATTTCTTGCAGTGATGTGAAGGAAAGATTTCTGTACATTGTCTTGCTAGGAATAGTCTTCATCAGAAATATGACTGAGTTTTCCTGGGACCCCCGTCAGTATATATTGATTACTATTTACCTAATCCTTGTTTTTTCTTTATTTGCATAATTCTCTAATTTCAATATTTGTTTTCATGAAAAATCTTAGAATTTTTCAAGTACTGGCATATTTTAATCAATAAATTAAGATTTTGTAGTAAGACATGAAGTTTTGAAAGTACAATTTTTTAAATATCTCAGATACCATTGATATGTCAAAGTGAGTTGGAAGTATCAACCATATTTTTTAACGAGTTTTACCCTCAATATTTTGAATCATCAAATATCTATCTGTTTTTTTTTCTCAGTCCCATCACTTTGAGATAGCAGATTTAAGTAACTGTCTCAAACTCTCAAACTTCAAATGAGACTATTTATTTATGCATCCATTGAGGGATTTAGAGAGCTAGACTATATCAGCAAGTATTTCTGGAGGTATGTTAGATAATGAAGTACTATTTTTTATTTATAGAACATGTTTGGGTTATCCTGCCTGATGCTGTATTGGTGTTTGTTGCTGAAATTTTGGTCGACTGGATGAAGCATGCATTTATTCTCAAGTTCAATGAAATATCTGCAGATGTAAGTTGTTTGCCTTTTTCAGAAAGCTTACTTATAATACCCCAACAAACAAAAGGGAGAACAGCGGGGCCATTATTAACTGAGGTGAGCGATGTGGTCCATAAGCCTCTTGTTTTGTTTGCAGGGGTATAAGTCCTCTTGGGACAGTTAAGTTACATGTTAAGTACATTTATCTGACAGAATGATTGTGTGATCTTGTCAACACCAATATGTTAATGATATGTTATTAATAAAAATACAATACAATATGTTAATAATCTGTTATTATTACAGTAAAAATAATTTAACAATTTTTTTTGTACATGTATTACATGTAATAGGTAGCTATGTTTTAGACTTACACATTAATTTTATCAATGATAAAATGATATGAACATAAGTACAATGTATTACCTATTTTCAAGGATACTTGATGATCATCATTATTTTTCACTACACAATATTGCCTTGAAACAGAAACCTAGTGATAGAGTATCTAGTGACTTGTATTATTTATATACATCCTGTAGGTTTACCATTCCTTCTCCATCAGACTGGCTGAGGACATGGTGGCCAACAGACAAAGCAGGGTAAACTGATCTATTGACTTCAGATGATCATGTATTGAATTGAGATTAAGTAGAGAAGACCAAAATTAATTGCAATATCAGGCCTCTAAGTGGCCTCTAAAAGTTAGGTGCAAGCTGCTCACCAGGCAATTTTTCTGAGGCACCAACTTTAAAAGTAAATAGAATATAGGGACTCATGACGTGCCTAAGAAAACATGACATGTCCATTGCTAAAAATACACATGTAGTTTTAAATTTCTTTTTGTTTTTTCAGAAAAATTGTTAAAAATGTGAAAATTTCTGGAATTCGACAATCGCAGTCAATTTAAAATGGTCTCCAATTTGGTGACTTATTGAAAAATTTTAGGCGCCAATCAAAAATTTTACATGCCATGGCGACTAAATTAGTCGCCAATTAGAGCCCTGAATATTTCTGTCTTAAATTTTCGAGTTTAATTATTGTTCCAAATTTGGTAGATATGCTAAGTTTGCTTGAATTTCATTTTAATCACCATTTTCTGTTAGAAAAATTATCACAATCACATCGAGTCAAATTCTCTGTACTGAATACTTTGAATCCATGAAGGAAAGCATAAATGTCATCTCTTCTTTTTTATCCTAGGCATTCATAGACTATTCTGACTTGGTGTCCCGGAGGATGGGTTTTACCCCTATACCACTGGCCGTCCTACTAATGAGGATTTGTACAAAGTCATTCAAGGTGTCCGGATATACAGGAGCAGGGCTTCTTGTTCTTCTATATCTGTGGTGTGTAGCAAGCATTAACATTTATCTTTTGTTTTACAAATCTTTCTTTTATTCTAATGATTGAAGATTTTTGTGCTTGAGTTTATTGATTTTATATGTTTTTACAAGTACATGTATTACAAAGCCCATGAAACAAGCATTCTGAGAGTATTGCATAAGCAATATCATTCCCCTACCAGCAACTGTAATCTGGTTCCCCTTTAAAATAAAAAGGCCATAATTCCATCAGAAATCATTAAAGCAGAACTGAATACTAATTTCATTTATTATCTTACCTACTATATAAATTGTAATTAGGCATTTTGAACTGTTTCCTGATTTTTTTTTAATGTTTTTGCAAATCATGAAACAGTCAAAACTGTTTACCCGGTCACAGAATGAACTGTTGCATGGCTGAACTGTTCCATTATGATGTCATAGTTAATTTCCCGTACTTTACAGCTATAATATTGAATTATGTATAAATTGAAGCATTTTCGTTCAATTTGAAATTATCATCTGAAAAGTAATCCTGATACCAATTTAAATATATATTCAATTTAAGGAGGCTGGGGGGGGGGGGGGGGGGGTCAACAAATTAACCACAAATAAACCACCAGATTTAACTTAATTTTTTAGATATGATATCTTAAGCTGTCAACTATCATTTGGCAAAGAAAAATTTCAAAAATTTTAGTTTTAAAATTTGATCATTTTCTATATCTTCATATGGAGCTCTTCTTCTAAAGGAGATCAATATAGTCTAAAAATGGCCACAACCCCCCAGCCTCTTTAATATCATTTCAAAGAAGAGGCCATGAACACCTTTTCTGAGGGTAGTTTGGGAAAAATGTAGGCCCCTTTCATTCAGTATAGATCTTTGCCATAAACGTGCAATATTCAAATCTTCAAAACATCATTATGTTGTTTACTACATGTTTTTTTTTCAATCTATTAGTGCATGATAATATCACACCCATTAATTTTTCTGATTTTACACTTTTCGGTGTGAGAATTTGATTAATATTCATCTTGTTTAGTTTGGTTTTAAAAAATAATACAAACTTTTGTCAGTGTATTTTAAAAGCCATTGATTATTTTGAAGATATCATTACTTTAAGAAATTATATAGTGGGTTAGGTAATAAAACACTTATTTCATGACAACTCGGGAAACAGTCAAACTGTTGTCCCTCGATAATGGGGAAGACCTGGGAAACTGTTGCCCTCGGCCTTCGGCCTTGGGCAACAGTTTCCCAGGTCTTCCCCATTACCTCGGGACAACAGTTTGACTGTTCCCGTCGTAGTCATGAAATAAGTGTATACTATAACTCATTAAGGTAGACTCACATACCAAAAATTAGCTCAATATCTGCAAGCGTTTAGGGGAAAAAATGCAGTAAACCATGTGCAAAAAACTAAGTGGGACAGACTGACAGAGGGACAGACAGAGGAGGAGGAATCCTACAGCCCCTCCAGTTTCACTGATAGGGAACTAATTAAAACAGAAAATCATGTATGCACACTTAAGCTAGGTTCCTGTATGTTTGTGCATTTTGTGCAGGTATGAGTGATCTAATTCATGATAACTATCAAAATAAAATTCTGTATAAATTTGATATAAGTTATATGGTTGATTTTAACCTACTATGGCACTGCAGGTATAGTTGAATCATTTCAATCTTTGTTGATCCATTTTAATCTGAGGTGGCCATCATGGTTTGAAAAAAATTACAGGTTCATGCACAAGGTCTCCTTATGAAGGATATTGTATACATATTAGTAGTTGTGGTGGTTGTAACTTCATGGGAAAAGAGTACCATAATTTCCACAGAAATTAAACCCCCAAAATATAATGTTTCCACATAAATAAAATCAATTTGGAGTGAAGCTGAAGGTTAAATTATATATGGAATTTACTGACTCTCTATAGTTCTACAGTAGGTCTGTAAGGCCTAAGGCACAGTACAAGCTTATCTTTTAAAAACGATATGTGAGCTAATGCTGTAGCCATCATAAAATACAAAAGTAGATATCTGGACCATAAGTTTAATTTTCTGGGTCGATTAACTATTAATGGGAAGACACTGTGGTGCACTGGGGGTGGTTGAGAAGGGGGGAGGGTCTTAATTCAGAATAGTGAATCTAGAGTGGGCTTCAAGTCGAACATTGCCTTTCTGGCAGGCTCGGAAAACATATACAAGGTTGTCTTTCCGAGCTTGCTGGAAAGATCCGGGAAGGTAGTTAAGAAAAGCTGGGCTAGGATTTTTATGATAATTTTAGAAATAACTGATCTCTACAGTCTTGGCATCATAAAACCTAAGTTACTGTTTATTTTTGTACATTGATGTACAGATTAAATGGCAAATCACAAAAATTGAGATCATGAAACATCTTAAGCTTAAGTCAAAATCTTTATGTTGTAAATTGTGAAACTCCTGGCCCCTGGGTCAGGAGCGCTGGTCTTTTGATTATATAGTGAAAATGTATTAATTCTTTGAAAATCTTCTTCTCTGCTCCTGGGTTTTAAGCAGGTAAACTGAGTGCATGATTACAATGTACATTTATAATGAACAAGAATGTCAACTTCCTATAATATAATCAATAATGTATACACGTTTTTTTGGTCATGTTTTGCAGTTTGATGACCTTTAAGGTGTTTATCAGCATTGTTCTATTGGGTAAGGCATACACACTCCTAGAGGAAAAAGAAAAGATGGAAATGGAAGAAAAACACAAGTTTTACAAGGAGCACTACACTATTGACCAACATTCCCTTGATAAGTTTGACCAAGTCTATCAAAAGGCCTCCATAGGCAAGATGAAAACAAAAGTTCCTCAGTGTATGGAGTCTAATTTATCTCAGTCAATTCCAAATATACATGAAAAATGTGCAGAGACAGAGCTTAGAAAGTGTGATTCTGTGATGGAGTTGCCTCTTTCAAGACACAAGAAAGTAAACCTTCATTCAGACATCTTAGAGGAAGGTAGTTCAAACAATCATTCCAATATGAAAGAAAATGATCTCTCTACATTGCCAAAACAGGATGAGGAAATTCTGGAGTCAGGGGTGGAGGAGGTGTTAGAATCCAGTGTGGATCAAACTGTTAGGAAGAGGATAAAAACAGAGTGTATAGGAGAGAGGGTGTCTTCTACAGAGGATGATACACGCTGTACTCCTTCTAGGGAAAGATTAATCAGCACGGAGAGTACAGTGTGACCTTTGTGGCTTTGTCTCTGTGAATCATTTTATTATTTTCAAGGCTTCATTTCACTGCTGGGCTGTGGAAACAGTTTTAGAACAGTTGTCTTTGCTTGAATACAGTATACAGCTTACGGTATAATTTGGTGCTACTTGTCTTGGAAGATATTTTATTACATGTCAATAAGAAATCCATGTCACATAAATTGTTTATTTTGCCTGAAGATGCAAAAAGATCATATGATCACTGTTTGTCTATGTTTTATATACTAATTATTACAAACTTTAAAGGTTACATGCATATTAAGGTATTCGTCATATCCAGCTGTACTTCCATTTGTCTTTCCCACTGTGTCAGAACTCTACTTGTATAAAGGATGAAACTTAGCAGCTCATACTTTGCACAAAATGTAGTATATACTCAGATAATGTGTGTTGACCTTGAAGCATGATTAGTTGAACAACGTCACATGATTAAAAATATAAAATTGATAACAGATCCCTAACTTGGTAGTGATTAGTTAGAATAATCTAACTGTGTCTTGGGACAAGCCTTAAACTGTGTCTGTAGGACAATATCGTTTTAACGATGGAATGTTCTATCTAGGTAGTCTGACTGCTAGGTATCTATAGCAGTCATGCAGGTTTGATTGCAGGTGGTCAGTGCCTCAATGGCTCATTTGGTAGAGCACCTTTCTGGAGTTCATAGGGACCCTGGTTTGAAGAAAGGGTCTGGTCTGTTTCATTTTTTTCCTTTGTGTTACACTTGGTGCTGTTGACCACCCTTGGACTTGCAGGAGAAAGTCTAACCAGGGATAAAAGAATCTTTATAGTGTGTCTTCTAGATCTGGGGCAAAATCATTTAAGGAGGGAAGAATGTGGTGGTCAGGTTGGTTCAATTGTTGGTGGCAAGATAGTTCAGTTGACTGGAAAATGTGCCATGACCCTTACCTTGACATATTAAGGTCATTTGAATGTCATAGAAATTTACAGTGTCAAAATGATAGTGTTGTTTTGTTATTTTTCAAACATGCATTGTTTGAGTGTTAGTTCCATTGGAACAGCTATAATTTGATTCCAATTTTATTAGAATTTTAACTAAAAATGATATCTGTGGAGAAAGGGAAGGAAATTATTTCATATATACCCGAAATCAAACAATTATTGGTTTTTAAGAAATGTCATGCATGCACAAGTGTACATATATATTTATAATAATTTCAGACACTTCATTTACAAAATAATGACATCAGTTACCATTTTGACAAGTCAATTTTGTCCTTTAATAATGTGCATTATGTAAAAAACAGGATTTAAATGTCTTTCTTTGTATGTAAATGGTGAAGAAAATAAACAGTGATCAATTTCTAAATCCAGTAAACAAAGTGAATCATGAACAGGGTAAAAACAGGGCCCCTGGAAACCCCACTATGTATAACACGTGTCTTTTATGTTTGAATTTGACGTGAAATGCATACCATGGCAAGCACACAAGATTAACTTTTAAAAGTTGTGACAGACATGTGACAAATGTTGTTAATTTTATTACATTAACTGTTATTGTTGAAAGATAATGAGTAATTAGTACACCCACAGTTTAATTGCACTGTCAGAATGAGTAGGATGATTGGAAGATATTTTGTTTGTCGTAGGTGAATGCATTATAATACGTTCTTTATTTCTATTTATATGCAAAAGGTTCCAATCATATTATGTGAGTAAAGCTTTGTTATTAGACATAAAAATTACAGATTTAATGGAATTCCCAGCATGTGTATAGAGGATATTCAGTGTTTTGTTGTTGGATATGGAATTTATTTCACGAGTTTGACAGGATTTTCTTTTTATATTTTCACAAGTGCAAGCACGAGTGAAAACATAAAAAAAATCCTGTCTCATGCTAAATGCAACTGATTTTTCTCATAAAAGTGTGTCCAGTTGTCTAGCTGGTCGAATACAATTGTCAAGTTTTATTTCTTTACAGGCCAAAGTTATTTGCTCATTGGTCAAGTTCACATTATTGAAGCATGGGAGCTGCTCAATCAAGCCTGTCTTTCATGATTTTTAAATTTTTTTTAGCTTTACTAGTCAAAAACCAGAAGAGCTTATGACATAGTAAGGTGTCTGTCATCCATCCTTCTGTCTCTATGTAAGTAATTTTTCAAAATGTTTCTCTCTCAAGTATCTAAAACTTTTGGTCTGATTTCAATAAAACATGGTAGGCAAGTGGACTACACCAAGAAACGTCTTCTCTTTGTCTCAGTGAGTGGTGTTGCCATGATTACTATAAAAAAAGGAATTTCTGTGACCTTTTAATGCTACTCCTCATACCTTTTGTTCTGGTTTCAAGAAAAAACACAGAAGTTCTACATTAATTTATGGGAGTACACATTAAAATTTTGATGAACAATGCTGTGATGGTTAATAAAGATAAGAATAATTTGTGAAATTCTTTCAGATACACTACATCTCCTACAGTTTGGGTTTGATTTAAATAAAATCTGGCACACAAAAGTATACTATGAAACACTATTCTAGTTGTAGGTGTTGCCTTAAAAAAATACTAAAAAGATGTGGTTTGGGCATATGGACCATGGATACATTAGTGTTGGTAACTCAGTGATTAGAGCCCCTAAATAGTATGCATGGGTCCTGGGTTCGATTCTTGGTCCAGCCAGAAATTTTCTCCCTTTCTGTTGCATTTGGTGTCATGGAACACCCCTGGACTTGCAGAAGAAAGTCATTCAAGATGCTAAAGAACCTGCGTAGTGTGTCATCAACGGCAAAGACAATTTGAGGAGGGAGGAATGTAATGGTCTGGTTTATCTGGACTGTGGATATTAGCCTGGGTAGCTCAGTGGTTAGAGCACCTGACTAGTAATGCAGGGGTCCCTGGTTTGATTCCTGGTCTAGCCATAACTTGTGCATGTTCCTGTTGCAAAGAGAATATATTTGTATGAAACAGAACTTGATAAAATATTGTACCCCCCTCCCATAAGTTCCACACCAGTAGAGTTACAATATAATCATTGACTTTTGGTTTTCAACATACTGTGTGTCAAGCTTTTGGTGCAGTATTTCCACACATTGTAAGATCTGCCATGTAATATAATGGTGCAATTCAAGGTGTGAATCCTTTTCAATAAATATAAACTTTGAGAAAAGTGTTAAATTGTTTCTTTAATTTTTAAATGAACATTTAAGTACCCAAGAATCTTGGGCTCAGGTTTGGCTGGCAACTTGACACAAACAAGTTTAATCAAAAACTGGAACGCAAACTTTTCAAATGAAAATAATTAGGACGTAGTGAGGATCATATTATATTTGTCTGCGAAGTACCCCCCCTTTTTTTTTAAAAGATGGGCGTAAAATTACAGGCTTTAACTTTTGTAAACTGTGCTGTTATTCCTCCTGCGTCTCTAATGCATTTCAGGAGTTAACGAAAGGGAGGGGTGTCTCTATTGTTGAAGAATACTCAGCATGTGAATGTGCTCGTACAGCAAGCCAAGATTCTAGTGATGTGTTTCAAAAAAGTTTGAAATGAATTGTATTTATTCAAGTACATTTGTACATGTTAGTTTTCTTAGTTAGTTAGTTAGTTAGTTTTCTTACGTAAATTAACAAATTAAACCAGCTAATCAGGCTAATATTTCCAGTTTGCATAGGTAAGAAATACACATGATTAAGCAGAATAAACGTGATATACTAGTAAGTGTTCAGTTTGGTAACCCCTGCCTCTAAGAATGATCGTTTCGACTTGTCACTTCTTCGGAGTACAACATAAAACATTTTGGCACTTAAGAAACTGAGGGCTTCCAGTGATAATTAGGACTTGAACATTTCACAGAATGATACTAGATAGAAAATGCAGCTTGTCATAAAAAGAAATAAGTGAAATATGAAAACCTTAGCATCAACCGTTCAAAAGTTTTGGGCAAGGTCGAAGTTTTTGCGGACAAACAGACTAACAGACTAACAGAAAGGGACAGACCAAAAACTCTATGCCCCAAATATTCGATAACGGGGGCATAAAAATTCATGAGTTAATATTGTCTTATAAAATCATTAATGGTTATTCACCTCAATAATATTGTACGCATGGATAGAATCTTGTTGCCATTCAAGTCATTCTTACAATTTCGAAACCAACGATCCACATATCTTGCCAAATTATATTAAATTGCTTCTGGAACATCTTCATTCAAGAGTCTTTTTGAATCCCCCCTTTTTTAAAGAAAAAGTAAAGAACTTCTTCATTTTGAATAAGAAAATGCAATACATTAATTGTCAGTTAGGAGTTAGGAATAGTAATGCGAGTGATTTGATAACAAAGTTTTAGAATTTTCTTTCACTGACATTTTTTACACCAGTTGCCCCCCCCCCCCCGCGCCTCCAAATAATTAAATAAATACAGTTTTGATAAAGGCTGCATAAAGGGGGCGGGGCCTAATTTATACGGGAAAAGTTTACTGTGACGTCACACAAATATAGCAATTCCTCACAATAACAGAAAATGAAATAATTTGCGAATCTAAACTGCATAAGAGTAATGAACTACATCAAAACTTACCACTGCATTCATTTTTGTCGCTAGTTAAATCCCACAAAGCAAGATATAAACAAGTCACTGATCGCAATGCACTTGTCGACATGACGTCATCAGTTAAAGTTTGACGCATTTTATGTGCAGTGAGAGGCGGATCAAGTAATTTTTTCACAGTGAAAAATGCATTTTATTATTAAACAGAATATTATTTGCAAATCTTAGGTAGACCATTAATACAAATCTGAAACGTTTGTTTAGTGCCATTATTTAAAAAATATCGAGAGAATGTACTGAATTAATTCTACCGTGTTTTTGTATACAGGGTGTGCATGTTTCACGCCGAGGTGCCTCATTAAATCGCCTTTTCGCAAGGGCATACACATAATAGATCTTGACAATTTTTTGAATACACATAATGGACATATTCCTTAACTTGAAAAGTGCTGCTGCTTTTCTGAAATCGATAGCATAACTTAATAAATACATAAAATACTTGGTAAAGGTCACACATATTTCAACTTTAGCAAGATAACTTGAAATTTAAACTAATAAAATGCGAATTCTATTTAAAGCAGCAGCACTTTCCATAAACTACAAGTTATGTAGAAACAATCTATTACTTTGATTTTTAATTTTAACTAGGGTATGCCCTTGCGATATTGAAATTTGTTTGTGACCTACATACAGTACACATTACATGCATTTATCACGTGACTATCAAATAACGTGACCAAACCAAATTTAGTACAGAGCGGGGTATACAATGTTATTTCAAAAAAATGTTAAAGTCATAAGGTAGTATAGTACCTTTATAAAATTAGAATTTATTTTTAATAAGGTATGTATTTATGCACGTTTATATTCTGTTGATTTCTTCGAAGTACGCCTTAACAGTGCTGCGTACTAGTAATTTCCTGTATAAATGAAAAAAATCTGGTCAGGTTCAAAACTTTGTTTGAAAAATAAAAAGGTGTAATTTACTTCTATTTTTGCAATTTTCCGAAGAAATCGTTTAATTCTAGTTGCAAATCCAAAGGCTAATATATCAGAATGTAATTCAAAATTTCATATCTTTCCCATATCCAAACTTAGATCAATTTACAATGCTAAGCCTATACATGGTAAATCTGGTATAATCACAGCTGCTTATATAGTGAAAAAAAAAACATTAAGTTTTTATTTGTTTTAAGCAAAAGAGATACATGTATGTCTTGCTAACAAGATAATAAATCGATATTATATTTCGTGCAAACTAGTATTTTCCATTGTAAAAAGGAAAAGTTTGCCTTATATCTAGAAATACTGCATCAAATATTTTTGAATACCCAGAACAAAATCCATACATGTGGGAATCAAACATAATTACTTTTATCGAATACTCACATTCTAAAATCGACTGTAAAAGGATTACTATACAACAGTTTGGTTGGAAAGCTGAAGTAGATGATGACCTCTGTCCGGCCAGTACACTCTGTTTCCCTAATATAGCTTTCCTTTTTTGATACAAGACTCAAATTAAAAAATTCATAATAGCAAATCAGTAGAATAGTGTGATAAACTCATCAACTTTCTTAACTTTTTTGTCCAAGGATCGTAATTTGTCGGTGGTACTTAGACTCATAAAATTAAAAATATGATTAGGGTTTTGATTAAAAATAATTGCAATAGGCTTATTATGACGAATCAAAAGCAATTCTCTGGCAAAGGAGCTATCTTAAGCAATTAACACCCTATTCTGTCCCCTACAGAGAATGGGAATATTAGTTTTGGCATGACTGTCTGTCTGGTCGTGTCGCATATTCGTGGACTGGCAATATTTCTCTCTTATTTTTTTTCTATATCTGATTTCTGTTGGTTTGTTTCTTCTTGTACTCTTAATAAAAATGTAGAGTGCTTTGAAAAATCCTGACAAATGTGTAAAAGTTGAGGATTTGGAACAGCTGACGCTGAAGGTTTCATCAAGTGTCTTAGATATATGCTGTTAATTCTCAAGTATCATAGTTTCATATAACTTTAAAACATATGACTTTTATCAGTTTCTACAATCAATTTTACAAAGATAATTTGACATCACAGACAACTAAGTATTCAATAAAAATAGAATTCGGAAAAAATCTTTATTTTCTTCAAGTTCTTTTTTTAGAAGCTTTTGAAAATACATATTTAATTTACACATACGGAGTACTTGTGTGTAAAATCAGACTGATTTATTCATAAAGTACTAGTAATATTTTGATATTAGCTAGAACCATCGTGTAGAAATGGTTGTAGAAACTGTTGAAAAGTCATGGACATGTTTTAATGTTATTGATTTTGGAAAATTTTTGTGATATAAGTCTCTTAGAGTCTTTTTGGAGTTTTTGAAAATCCACATTTGATTTACACCATTTCTTAAATATGTTTCAGTATACGGTAGGTTTTAAAGTTTCTCGTTCACAACAGTTATATTTTTTGAGAAGGAATAATAGATTCTTATTTTTAAAAATTGTTGTTTTGACTATTGAGATGATAGCCAACTAAGTGCGACCCGTGACCGGAAGTCTGGGCTCTTGTGACATGAATTTTATAGCGAAGTGTTATTTCTTATTGCATTGCACAATTTGGTAAAATTTTAAATATGTTGCAGGAAAGGTAAAGATTATGAAAAGTAGAATGAATTTTCAATTCATTACCAACTTAACCTCCACTTTTTGCCTGATGGAGCCCTGGGCCAAGGAGACATAAATTCACAAATGACTGTCCGTATTTCTCAAATTGGACCAATATATTCCCTCCCCCTCTCCACACAATGGGATCTAGATAATTAATCAGGGTGAATTTCACATTTTTGGTAGAGGCCTAGGTGCTTATTACAATCATGCTAGTAGATGTCCAGGAGTATAGAAGTCGATATTATATTCAAGGGTTTTTTTTTTTTACTAATCCCCCCCCCCCCCCCCCGCCACCACCATTGGGCATTGGGACTGGAACCTTGAAATTTCTCAATTTTTGTAAATCTTTACTAAAATCTGATCAAAGAAACGCTGTTCAAATCTTCGAAGAATGACGCTGAACAGAAATCCTTAGAATTACAACCTTAGTGACGGTATAATGCAACATGTAGCTTTTCATATAATTATTTCTGACGTAAAATTGAAAATGTTCTAACCTTGTATCTTCCCAAAAACTTTTATTTTTGTCTATTAAATTAAGTTGAATGGGCATTTCAAGTTATTTAAATGATATAGCGAGGCATTAAAAAAGTATATGAAAGATATAGGCATATCTAAGATACTCGAGTATTAAGGACATATCTAAGACACTTTATGAAACCATTACTGTCACTATATCTTCACCTTTTACAAATAACACATTTGTCAGGATTTGACTGGATTACATTTCAAAGCAATCAATATTTTTTATTGAGAGTACAAGATGAAATATGGAGATAAACGAACAGTATTCAAGCTCACTGTCGATTTAAACAGTACAAATCGAGAGAGCAGAGCAAACACGGACCTTTAAAACATCAGAGGTGGGATCAGGTGCCATGGAGAAGTACATGTAAGCATCCCCTGTCGACTGGTCACATTTGCCGTGTGCTCCTTAATTGTCATGATTCCGTAAACGGAAAAATCCG